GTAATGTCAACACAAAGAACAAAAAAAATTATGAATACTATGTAAATAAAAAGGGAATTATTCAATTTATAATAAATAAATATATACAAAAGTACATTGCGATATTGGAAAGGATTTTAATCGTTAATTCGAAGAATTACATTCGTAAATATGTAAGCTTTAATGAAACATATTTCATGAGGTATTTATTCTATAATAATTATATAAACATATATATATATGTAACAATGTGTGTATATATATAAGTATACAATTATGCACTGTACTTATATAAAAAGGGAATATTTTGTTTCTGATACAAATTCTGTTGGCTTTGCAACTTTATTATATCAAATCTATCAAAAAATTATCAAATCGATTTCTTTTGTCATAAATGTAATCTGTTAACCACAAAAATCAATGCGTTTAAAAACTCAACTACCCAATATAAAAGAGCATTGTAAATCAATTTTAAACATCTGCATGTACAGGACTTTTTGATTTTATAAATTGAAGGTATGAATAGAATTTTTTTTTTACATCTTCGTTCTGAGATATACGATATTCTTCAAATAAAAAAATGTGCAATTCTAGGATGAAATGCTCCTTACATAACAAACACAATGAAGCCCAAAGAGATGGTCCCCTACGAAACGCATTGTGTTGAAGTTTAAGGCTGTCCTAACTTAATCATTAGTGCTCAAACATAAACATGAAATATAATTACATTTAACACTTTAAATTTCATTTCACTTCATTTACATGTAATTGTATTGTTCCAATTTTGGATTTGATTATTATTTTTTATCTTCATATCTCTTTTGTTTGAAAGTAAGAAATTAAAAAACAACTGTAACTGAATTATGCATCCCTGATTTTTATACACGAGTATAAAATCAATACTTTGTAAAGGTATTGAAACTTGTACATTTCAGGTTCCAACCACAATCTACTCGTGTAAAACAAAAACTTTTTTAAAAGTGGAACTACTTTTATAGATATCTTAGCGAGAGAAAATTAAACACTATAAACAATGAAACCGTACATGTAATCTTGTTGGCTTTGTCAAAGACATTGGGGTCAAACTTGAAGCAGTTCTGTTTCCCATCAATCACCTGGAAGCTCTGAGCCTCGCAGAATGATGTTCCATTCTGATATAGAGCACCTGTTAAAGAGTCAATATCAAAAACGTATACAGATATTTGATCAATAAAACGTAAATACCTCTAACAAATACGGATTACAGATTTTTCAACTTTTCAGCAACAGCCAAAAAATGAAACGGTTTTATTTTAAATGGACATAAACGCTTGTTTTAATATAGACATACATCAAGGCACAACTCGAATTTATCATTTGTAAGAACAAAGAATATGTATATTCAGAATAAGTATTATGGAAATATAATGTCAAGAAAAAAATATTTTGAAACAAATTTGCCAATTACTACAGATTGTTAATTGAATAAATAAGCATTACCGTACCTATTCTTTTTCCATCATAAAAAGCCCCTTGACAGTGGTGATAAACTGATTTGCAAAAGTCCGTGCAAACATGAACTTTTCTTTCTTCATCTCTGAAATAATCAAGATGAAAAAAATTAAAATACATAATATTTTTAAAATAGTGTTTTTTTTTTCAGGAATGAAAACATATTTAATGATATTTTAGAATGCATTTCACAAAAAAAGGTTAGACTGATAAGGTGTATAAGTTTTTTTTGTTACATGTATATACGGGTATTTATATTTGTTCCTTAGACCAAGTTGTAAAAGTTCTTTGTTTGCAGTTGCCGATCTATAATTTTTTAAGTGGGTAGGTAGGTAGGCATTCTTGTTTTTAATTACATTTTTGGATATTTGCCAGATAACTTTTATTCTAGGTCTTATTTCCATATTCATGTATTTCATCCATATGAACTTTGTTAATTTATAATAATCAATTCACTTTCGATTTAAGTTAACCTATTTGAAAACACTTAATATTAAATTCCGAATTAAGGCTTAATAAAGAAAAACGAAGTTCCCTACTTGTGATACCAGTGTACTTGGTCTGGGGCACAGAAATAACACATCATGTAGTTCAGGTGATTGGTGCAGTCCCGGGAAGCTCCGTATAAAGGTGGCATTCCAGAGAAAACAGAGGTTACCTCTGTACGTTTACAGCAAGCTTTGGGGGCATACCATGTACAGTTTATTAGTCCCTCAACTTCTACGGCAAATCTTTTATTTTCTAAAAATATATAAATATTGTACATTGTTACATAATTTTTGCATGATTTGTAATTTTTATGATTTGAACAGTACATGATCGACCATTTCATTGCTAAATTCATGTTCATTTGTTATTCGAGACTTTCATGTATACGAGGGTCGTTTAAAAAGTTCGTAGACTTTTGTCCTAACTTTTTTTAAAACGTTATACGAATTTTTACACTCATTAACAAAATTTTGTTTTTTGTATATATTCTACTTTGCATGAACAACTGTTACAGTTCAAATGTCACTCGTTTTGGATTTAGTTTTTACTAACGTGTAGTCACTGCAGGCGCGGATCTAGAATTTTTTCCGGGGGATGGGGTCCACCCCAGCCAAAAGAAATTTTCCAATCCAGAAATTCCTTGGCAAGGAAAAAAATATGGGAAAAAACGTAACATTAAAAAAACATTGAATACAATTATTACTTATTATCACTTTTAAAAGATTGCACTATTTATTACATTGTTCGAAAAAAAAAATTAAAAATTCTGCAGAAGTAACATAAGGATTTTAATGTCGAATAAGCAAAATTTGGAAGATAAAGTTGACAATTCTTAGCACCATTCTTAGATGTACCGAACTGTTAGTGTATATATATTTTACTCTCGCATGTAAACACTGTGTACTCCGGAACTGCAAACATCTCCAAAATAGAAGGACAAAAATCAATAGAGTTGTATGCTGTGTTGAATGAAAAATCGAATGGTTCTTACCGAAATATGTGCAAGGTTTCTTGTCATGGTTGCGTTCGATGTGAAATTCAATTACTGAATTTTCGGCGATCGCCATGTCCGAAAAGGAAAGTATGAGGAATACCACCAGGTAATTCATTCTGAAGAACTCTTGCTGGTGTAATCATAAAGTCGGTATTTTAATCAAACTGGCTGAGAACCCAGCATCTGTACCAGACCAAATCAATATAGGAAATAGAGAGAGAGAGCAAATAAAGATAAAATTCAGGTCGGATTGCAGTCTTTTCCGGATGTATTTCAAGTTTTTAAGATATTTTTTTAAAAAGAAATAATCACTTTTTTTGTAGATCTTCAACCTTTTAATGAAAAGAATCCAATAGATTTTGACGACGTTTTCCATAGTTTTTCACGATTTAGAATTTAGGGATGGCAATCTAAAACAGAATTAAAGACACAAGATACGTTACGCTACAATTCGAAATGTTATTCGGAGGAATAGTAGTCCCACAGACATTGTATGGAGTTTTCATTAAAGGTAACCTTTAAGATATAGAAACTAGATGTACTCTGAGCAATGAACTCACTGAATGATACCCCCGGCTCCGATATTAATGGCGGCAAAGTCCATGTTTTGAACTGGAGGACATGCACGAAATAAGTGTCAGATCAAAAAATAAAATAAGAGGTGCTCGCTGGGATTTTGTAATATAGAATCTTTGAAAGTATCATTAAATTTTATTCAGTACGCATACTAAAGAGATGGGTACCCTTCAATATTGTAGAAAGAATGACAATGTCCATGTTTTGTGATGGGAAACTCGAAACACATGTATGTTTCCCATCAAAAAGTAAAATAGAAGGTGTACAATGACACTGTGTAACAAATGAAGTTTAGAATCTGTGGAAAGTCTCATTAAAATTTATTCATTGGCCAGTATACATCTAAGAGGAGTAGCGGATAAAAGATGGATACCCCAAAGCGTAACAGACGGGTGGACGGACATCCCGATCACTATATACATTGGCTGCAGAACTGTAGCTCTCCGAAAAAATATACATGTGTATATTGATGGACCGGAGAGCTACAATGCCACCCACTAAAAAAAAAAGTTTATTTATTGCGCACAAAAAAGTGCGCTGTTTTTCGATTTGTTTCTCCGTGTTTTTAAAACTGTCATTTCAAAATATTACTAATCATATGTTCCTTACATATTCTTTCACTGTTTCCACAACAAAACATTCCTTATAATTGTTTTAATAGCCCTCCTGGTCCTGAACTTGAGATCATTGAAAATTTTGCCTATTTATACTGCCATTTTGGTTTGCAAGATAATTCGGTCCAACGCGCTTCGTACAGATGTAAACTACAAAAGTAATTGATAGAGGAGTAAGGACTTTATTGAAATCTAGTTGTTTTTTTTTGTTTTTTTTGCAATTGAGGTAAGAATTTGGAAAATTAATCCAGAAACAGCACACTTTTTTGTGCGCAATAGATATACAGTTTTTTTCAATGGATGGCACTGTAGCTCTCCGGTCTGTCATCAATATAATTATTATAATTTTGGAGAGCTACAGTTCTGCAGCTATATATATATACATGTACATTCTCACTTCAAGCGGGTGCATCCTCGATAGCCTGGGTTTCTGATGCCCTTGGCTAGCGAAGGTGAACCGGGGTATGATTTTAATAAAAAGGGAGTACAAAGGGAGTACTTAAAGGCAATGGAACAGTTTTCAAAATAAATATAAACAATGCATGGTATTATAAGTAATTTTAAGTTCTATTTCTTTGTGCGAAAATTCTTTAAAATGCTGATGATGTGATTTTGCGGCCTTTCAGTTTGTCATACATACATGTATGTAGGTGTGCAGGATACATTACATACATGTATGTGCGCATTGTATAGAAATTTCAGCGTTTTCTTTGGGTAAAATTAATATTATCTCATTGATTTGGTAGACCAAATTAATCCTTTGGTTGTACAGTGTACTAGGAACGTATATAGTACATGTAATACTATAATTAGTTCATATATCTCTGGTTGTATAACAATTACTTTTTTTTAAATTGTAAATGTAACAAAAATTAATATGGTCTCAAACACGACAACAACGAATTGATCTGGAACCCTAATTCATAGTGAATGTAAATAAACTCCGACCGACATATGAAACGGGTGGGCGCTGTCTTATTAGGCCCATATACAAAGGTAAATTTTAGCTTCTAGTTGTTTTACAATGATTTTATAACAATAACCTATTATTTTTCTGTGATAAAATTGTAAATTTAAGTATATTACACATGATTTGACTAAGAAAAATGTGAATGAAACGGGAACATCCGCAAGGCTAATTATAGCGGGAATAAATACCCAAGCGTCAATATATGGGCCAAATGTTGGATAAATTGAATATTATTCCATGAAAAACAACTTGAAACATATTTTTGTATCTCATAATATATGTACTTATTAAGTTATCTATATTTGGAATTCCTAAGTGATAGTAAATGTGTTTTATATCATGTATATCGTCTGTTGTCCTTTAATTTCTTTTTCCATGATTCAGATAATATTGAGTTATTGACGTACATGTAGCCTACAACATGCACAACAGGATATTCCTTATCAGACCTTTGAATTTTCATTGATTCTGCATTGTTTACATTTGGTTAATTGTCAATATAGACAACTTAATAAAAAGAAAACACATTTGCATTGGTGTCTGAAAATTAAAAAGCCTAAGTTTGAGTATTTCATCAGTCCCAGAGTCATGCATCATTTGTAGAATCAGCACTACCTATTTCTGAATATGACAATGTAAAAACTCGTATTTATATCCAGCAAAATAAAATTTATAAACAGTAAAGAAGAGACAGAATATTATAGAAAGATGTTAAGTATGTTTTATTTTACAATATTGGTATAATTATCATATCTTGATTTTTTTTTTCATTAGACAACATCAATTAAAAAAAATTAATACATATATGGTTAATATGCTATATGCACTCAAAATGTGAATCATTGTTTATCTTTCAACAGTGTTTATTATGCTGATTGTGATTTTATATGTTTAATGGTAAAAGGTTTGTATACACCAAGTTTTCAGAAAGATATCAGATTTACGTCTGCAATGAAACTGTTTAATTTCAATCATTATGCAAAACTCTCTTTGTTGACTGTCAGCCTTGAAATATTTATGTAACAGAGCGTGAGGGGCACATAAAACTGTGTTAAAATTTTGCCTTTAGGCAGTAAGCGACATGTTAAAATTATTCTGTATGAAATTCAGCAAGAAGTCTTACCTTGTACTTACATTTTTTTTAAAAAATTTCATTTTCATGTGAATTTAATACATTTAATTTCATGCATATTTGAAATGAGATGTGTTAATAATATACACACGCGTTATTCAATTTGTTTGCACACACCGTCGCAGTTATGAAACTATATCACTCAAAAAATAATGATCATGATGATTCATTGCTTAATTGGAACTTTTGTGAATTAATTCTCTGCTATATGTACTTCAATTATTTGCATGTAGATAAAGAATAAAAAATAAAATGATTCCATGATTTATGTTGAAGTACAGCATTCTGCAGAAGAACTTATGATTAGCTTATGATTTTTTTTTTTAAATTCGATCATCAACTGACAACCCCAACCCCCATTCCTCTCCCCCTGTACTATAGACCTGATAATTAGATGATCTTTGTTTTGAAACATTTTTTCCTGAAAGGATACAAGAAGTGAATAAAAACTTTTATGATATTTATCGATGACAGGTTTTGACATTATGTATATATTATTATACATCATGATTAATACTTTAAATTGAAAAAAAAGAGCATAATAATCAGTATATTCAAATGATCTGTTCTTTAAGTTGCTAGAACTGTTATATATGTATTATGACAATTGATAAATCACAGCCAAACAGCAATTTTTCTGAGAAAATGTGGTCATGCATAGCTAATTTCTAACCCAGCTTTTAACTACATTTTCCTAATTGTATGGAAATTAAGATTTCCGCGTATTTTTTTTTTCCTTAGTGGATACAATGTAAAAAGAATTATTTAAATGTTGGCCGAAAAACAGTGCAGATCTGGTTATTTGTCATGTATAATACATGTTGCACAAACCACTTGAATGTAATTAGAGGAGGCTAGGTGCTGTATTGTATATATTTACTATCTTTTTTATCATTTATTTCAGGACAAAGAACAATAATGGACTCGAAACAACAACCTCCACCTGACTATTCAGGTAGGTGAAGCCATTTTAAAGAATTTAATACCTCAACTAAAAAAAATCTAGGGCAGGAACAGTTAGTTTTTAACTATCAGTATCAAGAACCTTTATGTGTAATGTACATAATAAAGTAGACATGAAGATATTATTCAAATTAACTAATTTTATAAAACACCATTGATTAAGTTGATAAATGGGAAAAAAATTATTAAAGTAAAACAAATTTTGATATTTAACAGTTTATGTGCATGTTAAAATTTGTGGGTGGGTAAGTGAGTTTATCCTGTGTGGCAAGGAAGTGACACAATTTGCATTGAGATCAATGTCAAATGCTTCCTTGATTTATACATGTAGATGTCTTCTTTGAGAGAGGATGGTCCGCTTTACATGTACTTTACATCCAGACTTAAATTGCTGATTTGCAACTATTTGCAACTATTGATATAGTGAGGTTGCCAATAACGAATCGCACCCGTTAACGAATCACTTTCAGATGAAAATTCTGTATTTTTCTTACCAAAGTCCAATACTTAGCTTAACCTACCCTGTCATGCTGAATTATTCTTGCTTTTATCATTTATCATGAAATTATTAAATTCAACTCGTTCAATGTAATAATTTTTAAATAAACATGAACAAGCTTTTTTGTGACGCAGACCAGAAGCATACATGCAAGCAGACTACTTTCACTTTTCGGTACCGCTCCAAAGTGAATCGTACATTCTAGGTAAACAAATTTGGTGCAGATGTTTAATAAAATTATGTGTCTAAAAGCACTGAAAGCGTCATACAATTTCTAAATCAGAAATTAATAGTATTCGCTTTAAAGTTGGGGGTATTTAGGTTTCCAGTAACGAATCGCTGTTTCACGAAATATGAGATGCAGGGATCCTGTCCAAATTATCATGATTATAATTTTTCGTATGCGGTTTTTTGCACACCAGTTACAATAATAAAAAAAAAAACAACAGATGTCTACCAAAAGCGTACAATAAAGGTGGTTAAAATACACATAAACAAAATCAGCAGCCAAAATCAGTAAGAAGTGCAGAGCATGTGGATTCGAGAATGTCTCCCGGTGGTATATATGCATGTAAGCTAATGTGAAGACATCGATGATAGCGAAATAAAAATCGTCATGATTACCAAACAAAATTAAGAATTAGAAATTTTATATATTTATCCCTTTGCAATTTAAACTTCCTACTAAATCATTATTTCCAACGAATCGATATACCGTTTGCAGTTTTCCTATTCCCTAAAAAATTATTTCAAATGATCAATTTTTATTTCTTGTCATGATCAAGATCAAGCTCGTATAATATAAAATGCATATTGCTAACAATACTTTTTCAATTCAACATCAAGCTAAATAAATTATAAACAGAGTTTTATGATACCCCCCCCCCCCTGTTTTTCAACATATACTGACTACCCCCCCCCCCCCTCTTTTTCAACATATACTAGTTAGTAAACATTTGATTTAAATTACACATTGAGGAAATGATATGCAGACTGCAGCCTTTTGCCTATATGGAATATATGCCACTGTCTTCAAGCAAAAGGAAGAAAGAGCACTATGAAAGCAGCAGAGAAGAATGAGTTGTCTTATTCATTTTTATAGAGACGATGGACAGTTGAAGTAGACCCATGTAAAGTGAAAGGACAACCTCCAGTATTTAATAAATTGGAATACTGGTATTTAGTCTACTGTGGATGTTGGAATGGAGAAATTCAGCAAATGAATCCCAACATCATTATTTGTAAAGTAGTCTCTGCTCATTGGAGGAAATTTAGGTGTTGGGTCTTGACATTTTGAAAATATAATTGTTCCTTTCAGCTTTAGGTATCTCTGAAGCCAGGCTCGAAGGAAGTAATTTCAGTTGGTGGGGGAGGGGTGCAGAGCCATACATTTTCAGCTGAGGAGGCACTATCAACCACCAAAATTCCTTGACAATTAATTAATCAAGCATGAAAAAGGTCATCAGACGTTTTTTTTTTTTTGAGGGGGCACAATCATATATCTAGTGATATATTTTCTATCTAAATAGCGGCAAAACTATGGGGAGGGGCGTGGTAGCTCAAATTCAATGAGTACAATTCTTGAATCAAAAATTAATTCTTCGGCTGTTTGCAGTTCATCACATATACGCGTTTACGTCATCTTATATCAACTAGTCATTTCATGAGTTCATTGTTGTTGTTTTTGCATTAATTGTCAAATGCAAACAACTCAAAAAATTCCTAGCTTTTCTACTTTTTTTGGGGGGGGGGGAATATTTTAAGGCATAGTAAAACGTTACGTAAGAAGGGTATTTTTAAATTTACATGGTCCCGAACCAGAATAATCAGCTTTAATTATGTCACGTGATTCGGTAATGGAGAAAATGATCCGCTAAAGGAGAAAACATCATTCATACAAGTATAGCGATATTTTTTTTATTAAATTAGTGGTTATTGGGAAAATATATATGATGTTATAAGTAAAACATAGTCCCACCAAACAATGTTGTAAAATGAATTTAACTCAAACTCAGGTACGAAATATCCAAGCAAATATACTAAGTGATTCGATATCGGCAACCTCACTGTATCATTTAATAATTTTTCCTAGGTTGCTTTTGATAACTGTATGTATAGTGTATATATTATGATTATATATTTATAAATAATTTAAAAACTTAACAAAAAATATCAATTTAACTTATAAGATTGTAGTATACTCTGATGAATAATTTATAGAATCATCATGTATTACAGTAAAGAGAACATGTAAAACATGACTGAGCACATGTGATGGAGTTGCAAATCCCTGACTTTTTTATGTCTCCAGTGAAAGTATACTTTTATTTGAATTTTGTAATGAATATTTTAAGGTCAACAAGGTGGCCCTCCCCCAGCACAACAAGGACCTCCCCCAGGGCAATATGGACCTCCTCAAGGGCAATATGGGCCTCCCCCAGGGCAATATGGAGCTCCTCCAGGGCAATATGGGCCTCCTCCAGGGCAGTATGGAATGCAGCCTGGTTATGGACCACCACCTGGTAGAGATATTTTTAAATGACAAATGTATATTATTTTATATTAAGATTTTATAAGAGAATAACTGAAACAGTTATTATTTCTATATTTAATAAATATAGAAATAATAACTGTTTCAGTTATTCTCCAAGTTAATATCAATAATCAAAATGTCACTTACTAGAAAAAAATGAATTAAAGACTTGGAGCTTTGAAAAATCAGATATTGAAGCTTATCATAAGATTCTAATCAATGCTTTTTCAGCCCATGCATGTACATTATCATTACATTTTGCCAGTAAATGTAAACTGATTGAATTGATAATGCATCTTCTATTAATTATGATTTTGTTCATAATGATTTAAAGCTATAAAGACACTAAATTATATCACTTGAAATAATTTTGTCTGTACCACCTTGTTTAAACATTGAATTATTTGAAAAACAAAAAAAAAAACCCAGAAAAACCCAGATGTATATTCCTTATTTTTATTTGTAAGTATTTATAAGTTAAGACTGTAAGGTACTTCTTTTGTTGTACAGCTTTTGAGTCTAATCCATGTATTTATTACAAAATTATTATAGGTCAGCCATATGGACAGAATGTGCCCCCACCCCCACCAGGTAAACACTAAACTATTTATAGATATGCATGTACCGGTAGATCTGCATTATATGCTGGATGACTTGCATATGGTATATCCTATAAGTTGTTGGTGCATGTACATCAATTTTTAGCTCACCTCAACGAAGTTGGGGGAGCTTATGTAATACCCTCGGCGTCGGTGTCGGTGTCGGCGTCGGCGTCCCGGGTTAAGGTTAAGTTTTTTTGAGCAGTTTTCTTTTTAAGTACTTCTATGTCCTATATTGATTAGACATGCATGGAAGATGTTTCTAGTGTGTTTCATTGTACCAGTCAAAGTTTCAGATGCTGCAATTTCAGCAAAGGAATGACCAGGTTAATGTTTTTGGAGCAGGTTAACATTTTTGGTGCAGTTTTTGGTGTGGGTTTCATTTCCAAGTAACTATAAGCCCTATGTTGACCAAACTTGCATGGATGATACATCTAAGGATGCATACTACCGGGCTTGCTTCGGATGCTGAATCTGACCTACATTTTCCGGTTGAGTGAACAGGTTAAAGTTTTTGGTGCAGGTTTCATTTCCAAGTAACTATAAGCCCTATGTTGACCAAACTTGCATGGATGATACATCTAAGGATGCATACTACCGGGCTTGCTTCGGATGCTGAATCTGACTTACATTTTCCAGTTGAGTGAACAGGTTAACGTTTTTGGTGCAGGTTTCATTTCCAAGTAACCATAAGCTCTATGTTGACCAAACTTGCATGGATGATACAGGTTAAAGTTTTTGGTGCGGGTTGAGTGAACAGGTTAACGTTTTTGGTGCAGGTTTCATTTGCAAGTAACTATAAGCCCTATGTTGACCAAACTTGCATGGATGATACATCTAAGGATGCATACTACCGGGCTTGCTTCGGATGCTGAATCTGACCTACATTTTCCAGTTGAGCGAACAGGTTAATGTTTTTGGTGCAGGTTTCATTTGCAAGTAACTTTAAGCCCTATGTTGACCAAACTTGTATGGATGATACATCTAAGGATGCACACTACCAGGCTTGCTTCGGATGCTGAATCTGACCTACATTTTCCGGTTGAGTGAATAGTTAAAAGTTTTTGGTGCAGGTTTCATTTCCAAGGAACTATGAGTTCTTTAATGACCAGTCTTGCATAGATGATACATCTAAGGATGCATACTTCCAGGCTTGCTTCGGATGCTGAATCTGACCTACTTTTTGTGGATGAGTGAAAATGTTAGTTTTGATGCATGTTTCATTTCCAATAAACTATGAGCCCTATAATGAGCAAACTTGCATGGATGATACATCTAAGGATGCACACTAATGGACTTGCTTCGGATGCTGAATTGGACATACATTTTTCAGATAATAGACAAGGTAAAAGTTATGGTTGCAGGTCTATTACCAAAAACTATAAGGCTTATATAACATTGTATAAACCAAACTTGCACAAATGCTGCATCAAGAGATGAAAACTCTCAAATTTGCTTCAGATGCTGGATTTTCATTACATTTTCATGAAGAAGAAGTAGTTTAAATTTTTTATATAGGTCTATTTCAAAGTATCAGATCAAAATTGCTTTTAAAAATATTTTCATTTTTGGAATGTATACTTTTTGTTGGTTAATTGTGTGACTTTGCCTTACTTAAAGACAACATTCGTTGAGGTGAGCTCTGTAATCTCTGATTACCTATGTTTAACATTTTATAGTACATGTATGACTATAGTATATACATGTAGTTTAATTGAATTTGTAGAATGCTCATAGTATAAACTGCTTGCTAGTATGCTTGTCAAATATTGTGTTAAAAACTTAAAATACAAATACATGTACAGTCATTGCAAATTGACTTGTCATTGATCAGTTTATAATATCTCAAAAAACCAATTTACGGTGTGTAGAAGGTCATTGTGTTATGTTAATCAATTGAACAAGTTTACACCAAAATCTGTTTTACTTGAATATTAAATTGTTTGACATTTTGAAACAAATTGATGAAGTTATAGTTTGAATTATACTTTCAGCATCTTCAGATCAATTTGCAGTAACTATACACAGCATTTATATTATTCAGAAATGATTGGATATACTTATAAGCTTTACAATGCATGATATATGTATATATAATAAAAAATTTCAGGAGGGAATCCCTATATAGTTCCCCCTACACCTCCAGGTAAAGTGGTCAGAAACTATGGATACCCAAAAATAACTGCATGTCCATGCAAATTCTGGATTTGATAAAGCTTTGAAAAGAAGCTGCTATTTTCTTCATTTTTGGCAATATTGAAAATCTGATATACAGTTTACCTTTGTAATTATATTAATATTAAAATTTTAATTACAGGTAGTGTAAATTTACTTTTCCCTCTTTTTAAAAAAACAGTTTAGTTTTCATCTGTATAATTTATAGATGTTGATTCAACAAGAAGAGGTTTATATGGGATTGATCAATATAAATTTCAACAAAGTTATTTTGATTTTAGTCAGGTTTCAAAAATATGTACTTCCTGCAAAATACATGTATAAGGGTGTTGTAAGATTTATTTAGTATGTACAGGAAATGATGTACATGTACATGTACAATGTATTTAGGAAGTTATATAATATATGAAATAGCTATTGTTGAGTTTTTTTCATGAAAAAAGAATTCTTATAGAAGATTTCATATAACATTACTAAGTGAATAATTCAATATTGATTGTTTCATTGTTAAACATACATGAAGTAAAGCATCATTTCAATATTTCAAATCATTTCTATTTAACTGAATTAATTGAAGGAAAAGCTCAGGCAATTTTTAGCTGCAGGGCTTTGCTGAAAGCAAAGTCCTGGCTCTAGGCATCATGATCCACTGACTGTCTTACTATAAATAGCACAGTAAACAAAAAACCAAACAGTGTCAAAGCAGATGCTTCCAATAAACAAAATAGTCCCATTGCGAGACGATATTCAAACGAATATTTTTAACATCCCAATCTTTGGAAAAGTTACTAGTCAATATTTTTGTTTGTTGAGAATTAAACTGAGGAGAAATAAGATATTTGCTTTATTGGGATAATCGTGATAAAACAATTTGTAAAAAAAAAAATTAAATATGTACTACTGTATACAGGGTTATTTTCGCCCCTTGTTATTTTCGCCCTTTCGAACTTGTGAACAATTTTGCCCCGTCTTAAATTCGCCCAATCATAGTTCTGTTTAAGAAATTATGAGTTGTAATTTGAATTCGCCCCGTTTTAAATTCGCCCAATCAAGGAGAGGGCGAAAGGGGCGAAAATAAAACGGGGGCGAAAATTTCCCTGTATACAGTAATTTCAGATCAGACAATATACTCGAGCAATTAAAGCCCGGCTTTCAGTTCTTTCAATACTTTGATTCTAAAGGTTATTAAGCTGTGTGAATCCCCCCTCCCTTCCCCAAACTGCATTTGGGTATCCGTAGTTTTGAATTTGTATGGTTAATTAATATGATGATACTTTTAATTACTAATATAACTTCACCTTTGCTCAACATGCCCAAGGATTCATTCTTTGTAGCTATACTAAATTACTAGTAACCTAAAGATTTATTTTAATTTTAAAAGAGCAAGAGCCACTTTGGGCCTTATTTGGCCCTGAAAAATTCTGAAAAATCAAAACTGCTCGATTTAGGTTGCAAATGCAGTATCTATCACTTGGAGTGTTGGTGACCACGTTTCTATTAATCATGATGTAATATCCCATCAAGTCAATGCATTATGACGTCATTAAATACGTCATTGTCCTCATATCCTGTAAATTCCTTTGAAAATGACCTAAAGTTGAAGCATTTTTTCAATATTTCACATTGAGCACAATCTCTGATCCAAAATATGCAAATACATAATGAAAGCTCTGTTTCTGAGGATCGAAAAACATGTTTTATTAGGTCACCTGAGTAAACTCAGGTGACCTATTGCCATCTGTTTTCGTCCGTCGTCGTGCGTCGTGCGTTGTGCGTCGTGCGTTGTGCGTTAACATTTGAACATTTTCATCTTCTTCTCTGCAACCACTGAACCAATTTCAGCCAAATTTGGCACAAAGCATCTATGGGTGAAGGGGAACAAAAATTGTGAATTTCATGATCCCTGCCCCCCTGGGGCCTGAAGGGTGGGGCCAAAACCACTAAAATTAGTGCAATCTTTGAAAATCTTCTCCTTTACTCCTGGACAACAAGCAGTCAAACTGTTGGCATGATTGTAATCAGCATTGAGTCCTCTACCAAAATTGTGAAATTCATGGCCCTGGGGTCAGGGGTTTTAATTACTAGGGCGGGGCTAAATAAGTATATAGGGAAAATGCATTATATCTTTGAAAATCTTCTCCTCTGCTCCTGGGTATTAAATAAACCAACTTAGTGCATAGTTATAATGAGCAATAGTGCCTCTACCAAAATTGTGAATTTCATGGCCCCAGGGTCAGGGGTTCTGGTGTTAGGGTGGGGCTCTATAGATTATATAGTGAAAATACATGAATTATTTGAAAATCTTCTCCTCTGCTCCTAGGTATTAAATAAACTAACTAAGTGCATAGTTATGATGAGCAAGGGTGCCTGTACCAAAATTGTGAATTTTATGGCCCCAGGGTCAGGGGTTCTGGTGTTAGGGCGTTTCATAGATTATATAGAGAAAATACATGAATTCTTTGAAAATCTTCTTTTTTGCTCCTAGGTATTAAATGAATAAACTAAGTGCATAGTTATGATGAGCAAGAGCGCCTCTACCAAAATTGTGAAATTTATGGCCCCAGGGTCAGGGGTTCTGGTGTTAGGGCGGGGCTCTATAAATTATATAGTGAAAATACATGAATTCTTTGAAAATCTTCTTCTTTGTTCCTAGGTATTAAATAAACTAACTAAATGCATTTCATGAGCAAGAGTTTCTACCAAAACTGTGAATTTTATGGCCCCAGGGTCAGCGGTTCTGGTGTTAGGGCCGGGCCTCTATTGATTACATGTATATAGTGAAAATACATGAATTCTTTGAAAATTTTCTTCTCTGCCCCTAGGTATTAAATAAACTAACTAAGTGCCTAGTTATGATGAGCAAGAGTGCCTCTACCAAAATTGTGAATTTTATGGCCCCAGGGTCAGGGGTTCTGGTGTTAGGGCGGGGCTCTATTGATTATATAGTAAAAATTCATGGATTCTTTGATTTTTTTTCTCTGCTCCTAGGTATTAAATAAACTAACTAAGTATATAGTAATGATGAGCAAGAATGCCTATTCCAAAATTATGAATTTTATTGCCCCAGGGTCGGGTTTCCGGTATTAGGGCAGGGCTCTATTGATTTTATAGTGAAATTCTAATGAATTCTTTGAAAATTTTCCTTTCTAGGTATTAAGCAGGTGAACATACCTATATAGTTATGATGAGCAAGGGTCCTAATCTTTCAGAATTGTGAATTTCAAGGCCCCTGGGTCAGGGGTACCATAGACATGGGGGTACTTATATACTAAAAATGAATGAATTGTTTGAAATCTGCTCCTTGGTATTAATCAAATATTTTTGAAAAGCAAGGATGCCTTTTTAAAAATTATGCAATATTTGGATCTAGGCCTAAGGGTCAGGGGTTCATGTGTGAAAGGGGCACTACTGATTACTTGACATGCTATTTTTGCTCCTCTACCCTGCCTTTGGGTATTCATGCAGTAACCAAACTAAGCAACTGCTTAGTGTATTGTTATAATGATCAATGGTGCCTCTTTCAAAATTGTGAATGCCATAGCATCTGGCTTAAAACATAATCAAATTCAGTCACTGGAAAGTTGTTGCATAATCTCTCAGGTGACCTATAATGAAAGCTGTTTCTGAGGATTGTTTTTTTGGATCGTGGGCTGTGCTCATATTTTAATTCTTTGCTGAAGGTAGTCAAATAAGCATGTTTTCTGCAAAATTCAAGAACATTGCAATTTCTCAAGCCTGTTTTCCAATATCTGGATTTTCAAAACGAAATTTTATTATAGAAAATGAAAGCAGCAAGTGTCTACTTTATTTTGATATATGAAATGGGAAAGAGGGTAATAGTTAATTAATTGATATAAGTACAGGGCCATTTTATGCATAAGATGGCTCTTGCTCTTTTACTGGTTATATCTTAAAAAATGACAAATAGGTCTTTTAAAATTTTTGTTTTCAGAACTTATAGAAAAATTATGCCATATGGCTTTAATAGTACATGTAAGTCATAGAGTACCTTTAGAGTTTATGCAGTCTAAGTACATGTACCTTTTATTTTAGAATATTAATATTCAATGTTGAACTTCTTCCGCAAGAGTCACTAAGCATGAGAATATAAGTAGGGTATTGATTCTGTAATGACATAAAGGCCACATTGTAAGTACATTCTGAAAAAAACATGTACCTTGATCTTGACCTTTGAAACAATTCCTCTTGTATATACATTAATTGGGGGAAAGATAAGGTTTACTGGGACACTGAAGATTTTATCCTTACCTTGACTTAAGTCTTTCTCTTCCAATTTGTTTCTTGATCCTTGCTTCTTTGATTTGCACCTTAAAATTTAAGAAAAAAGTTTGAAAACTTCAGGATTCACCCATTCAACCTTAATTACCGGTATTTGAAAGTAATCTATAACTTTAAAATATTGTACAATTCAAGACTATTGCTTACTTATTAATAAGCAATAAATTAAGATTTCGAATTGTGTGACTTAAATGTAATGTTCATAATTTTGTCATTTATAAATAACCCACACTTCTTTGTGGTGTTTTCTTTCAATAAAATTAGTTGAAGTGTAGATAAAAGTCAGGCTTCTGATCTGGCTATTTTACTGACTTCTGTTTGATTTATTAAAATATGATCATTGATAAATTAAAATCCCAACTTAACTGTGTTAATCAGCTATTTACATTTACTGAAACATGAATATTTTCTTCTTGCACTGAGTGCTCTGTCCTTGTTATTTTGCTGTGTAGTTCAGTTTACTTTAAAAAAAAAAAAAAAGATAAAAACTTTATTTTGATCTTAATATTACTATATTCATAATAATTATTGTATTATACTTAGTTGAATAAATGTTTTCAATTGTGTTCTCGTTACACCATTCAATTTTTTTTTTGTAATTGTTTTCACTGCTGTGCATCGTTTAAAGATTCAAAATGAACTAAACAGTGAAAAATATCTCATACAAAACAATTTAAAGAATCAAATATTTAAAATTTCCTTTAGGTCTGCAGAATGTTCAGGTTCAGCAGATGTGGGTTGCGCGCCCTGAGCCCATTATGGGCTGCCCACCTGGGTTAGAATACTTGACAATGGTGGATCAAATTCTGGTTAAACAACAGATTGAACTTTTAGAGGGTAAGTTTATAATATAGAATGAATGCAGCAAAATAGGCTTGTTATTTTATGGCACCTAACTGCTTTTGTATTGTAATGACTTAGAAAAATGATAAAAACCATTTATTAATAATGGTTACAATATTTTAATATTCCTCAATTTAACTGGAACTTGTCAAGTGAATTGGCTATCTTTGGCTTATAATGTGTGTTTTACATGTAGCTGTAATGGATTGAAGTTAATTAATCATGTATTGTAGCATTCACTGGATGGGAAACTGCAAATAAGTACAAGATCCTAAACACAAGTGGGCAACAAGTTTACTTTGCAGCTGAAGGTAATTGAACTCTTTTGACGTACGTAATATCTGAGTCTTTTTTGAAAGTCCTGAAATTTGATCATTGTTTTTAAAAAGTAGCAATACATGTAGTTTACCATTTAGTCCGTTTTTACATTGTCATTTAATTTTTTAACATTTGAAAATGAGAATCAAAATAATAAAAAGAGTAGAGTTCTTAGTACTGAATCTTGTGATAATCACTTTTAAGATTTTAAAAATATGTGTTTTATGACTCATTTTGTGAAAATTAGATGCATTTATTGATTATTGATTACATACATGTATTTTGTCTCTGCAGGTTTATGATGCAAGGGAAACAATACTTAATGTTATAGTCTATAGTCGCTTAAGCCAGAAATCAATAGGAATGAATTCATGAAATTATTTAAATATTTAAAGCCATGTAACTTTAGATAGATATCAAATTCATGTTAGACGTAGAAGCATAATCATTAAATGTCATGTTGATTTAAATTAATACCATGCAGTTGGACAGATCAAATTTTGCTGTCACAGTCAGACTACTATATCATACAAGATGTATTTACTAGCTAGTATCTACTTGTACGTGCTTATACAATTTGTGAAAAGACTAAACGAAGATGTTTATTAGACATAATCATCATTACTTGCAAAATATTATTGTTCTAAATGCATTATCAAGCATTGTTATGTACAAGTGTTTTATTTCTTCAAAGAACATTTATGAGAAAAGAAAGATATACTGTAAATCTTATTTTACTTGATTTGATAGAATCTGATACCTGCACCCGCCAGTGTTGTGGTCCTAACAGAAGTTTTACAATGCACATCACAGACAACATGGGACAGGTGAGATTATCAGAAAAGTCATCTCTAGTTTACATAATTATATAATTTTAACATGCATAATTAAGCAAAATGCATAGATAGCATGAATCCATACATATAATTATAAGAATCAGATATCAGAACAAATGGACAATTTTTATTTGGTACTGTTCCTTAAAGAATTTTAGACAATTTAGGACAATGTTAAGTGACTTGCTGTGAGTATGCTAGGATTTTGTAACCTGATTGAATAAGTATAAATCATGTGACTCTCCGTCTGGTCAGTCTGCACAGTGTATGAGTATTTTTAAACATAATGGCCTTGATATTTCCCGTTGACTTGTACAGGAGGTGATCCGAGTTAACCGAGAGTTTAAGTGCTGTGCTGGATGCCCGTGGTGTGCATGTGTTGATGCTTTGGCTCACGAGATCACCATTGAAGCACCACCAGGACAGGTGGTGGGATATGTCAAACAGGAGTAAGTTCTTGTAATAGAGATCATGAGATCACCATTGAAGCACCACCAGGACAGATGGTGGGATATGTCAAACAGGAGTAAGTTCTTATAATAGAGATCATGAGATCACCATTGAAGCCCCACCAGGACAGGTGGTGGGATATGTCAAACAGGAGCAAGTTCTTATAACAGGCAATATGTAGAGATTAAGAGGATTGTTACTGTAAATCAGCAAATACTGTACTTCTGAAAACTGAGCTCAAATGAGGTTTTCTGATCACCCATTGTCCAACAACAGTTTGTCTGTCTGTTTATACATGTATGTCTGTTTGTAAACTTTTCATATTTTAAATTTTTTCATGGTTAGTCATTTATATGCAAGCATTTTTTTAAATAGTTAAAATTTACATTTGTTCAAATCATGACCTCTTATAGTAAAGTTGGACCACATTTTGTCACAAAAGTTTACAATAGAATGAAATACATGTAGTGACACGGGGTATAGTTACACACATAATAAGCATTAGGCCTTTTTTTTTTCTATACGCCCGTCTTAAGGTAGGTCGCGGGTTTGCTTTTGTCATCAGTTTTGGTCACAAATTTGACGATTCGAGCGGTTGTTTTGTGCACATTTGATTATGACGTCGGTTACGTCACAAAGGCAACGTTACGTTGTTTCCCGCTAAATTCTCTGCAAATGACTTCAAGTCTGTACGAATCAAGTAGGTGAATATACAAAGTGCATGTTCTTGTACTTTTAAAACCTCTTACTTGTTTTATATGCATCATTAGATTTTAATTCTGATGTGATTATATGTAATGTCTTAGGACTAATTAAATACAACACCAAATGAAAGGAATAATATATATTGTTAGTGTAACTAAACTGCTAATAGTCAATCAGAAAAAATCAGCGTAAAAGTTATGGTATGCAGAAAGAAAGTTATCATGAATAAAAATTGCTTAGCGGAAAAGTCAGGGAAGCATGCGTATTGCATCATGACTGCAAATCAGAGCCTGGGCGAAAATATGCGTATACTTTTTAGAATGGAAATCATCATCACAAAAAACGTCTTAAATTTAATTTCATGCATTTTCCTGTTTTTTTTTTTTTTGTTTTGTTTTGTTTTGTTTTATAATTATCATTATCAATATCATTGTGTTCTTATGTATTTAAATCTCATGTACTCGCCCTTTGCTGGCTAATAAATTGTTACATGCATTTAAAAATCAAATTTATACATGTACAAACACCTGGAATTAAGATCAAAGACACTGTAAACAATTTATAAATAAGTATCATTTTTCTATATATTCTTTTATATGACAAAAGCTGAAAGTGTAAAAGCTAAATGCAAGTGTTTTACATTTTGTGTATTGAAATTTGAAATTAATATAGGATTAAACGTTCTTTTTTCAGAATTTATCGATGTGTAAACTCTGCCTTTTTACTCACAAACTGAATAAAAGTGCGAAGCACTTTTATGTAAAGTTTGTTAAGTGACACATCTAAATTCTATGAAAAAAGAACGTTTAATTCTTATAATTCCAATTACGAATTTTTTAAATCATTAAAATTATTTCCCTTTGAGGCCGCCCTACAATCCGTTATTTTGTACGGCGTAGGAATACTTTATGTCGCAAAGAAACGTATACAAGATGAATATCGATAAAATCCATCTTAAATTGTCAAAACAATCAATAAATAAGCTAAAAAAAAAACTCATTGAATGTTGTTTAAGTCAACAAATATTTTTTCTCCATATAATTCGTCCTTGACCATGGCTATGTTGACATTTTTAAAACAACAGCGTCATAACGAAAGATGCAGACCGACGACGTCCTCGATTTGCTCTGGTTCGGTAAAGATTTGGCTGTGCTGAATGCCCGTGGTGTCTGTATGTGTAAACATATGAATTTGATGCTAAAAAGGCAAGAGTCTGACCATCTTTTCCCTATCACAACGATAGGCCTACCAGCTGAGCTGATATGGAACGTCGAGAAAATGACAGCATGATCAGGGATTTTTTTAAATTCACACTCGTGATCCGACATTGACATAACCATAATATTCCCGTCTGTCAGTCCTGTTGATCTCCTTTTCATTCATTCATTCGACATTCATTCATTCTTTCATTCATTTTTATTTCAAGTTTCTTGTAATCATAATTTAGGTAAAACGGACTACTTAAAGTAGTTCTAATTGAAGAATTCATCGATGTGTAAACTTTTTCTTGAATTTGTTTTCGTCCAATCAAAACACAGGGAATCAATAAATAAAATTAAGATTGGAATTATAACAAATTAACAAATGCAAATGTTTAAGATTTGGGGCCATATACTACAGCTTGCGACTAATACAGAAAGAGCATTGCAGGTGGTGGGCCGCTTATATTCTCAGTATCGGGATATTTTCTTACAGTTTTTGAATAAAGTCATCGGACTTTTGCGTTATGCCTGAAATCCTGTCGACCATGGATTTCTTAAAAATACAGGTAGTAATGTATATTTTATCATTCGCGTTGTTGTCGCTGTACTTAATTCTCGTGCACGAGGAATGTTTATACCGTTCATTCTGACTTTGTGTTCAGAATATGAATTTCACAATGCTAGTGAAAATAAGTTGCTGGTCATACTAATATGTCTCCGCTATAAATTAAATGATGAATAAAATTTAATTTTGTGTCTATGTCACCTTTTAAATCTGGCATATTCCAAAAGTCAAGATTTGTATACTGTACCGTAAACGTGACTGCGTACAAAAAAATACGTTGTAGATATAAATAACTAAACGCAACATTTTAGCAGTATAAAAGATAACTTTGCAATATTTTAAAAGACATTTTTTTTTTACATTAATAGTTTTGCTTTTGCCTCATCTTATACATTTTGAAATTCCTGACTAATTCGTCTACGTCTTTAAAAAGTTATTCAATCTTTTTAAAAGAAACTGTTTTCACAAAATTGGCTTAAAACGTCATTTTTCCATACATTTCAATAGTAAAGCGTAAAAAAAGTACTAAAAACAATACCGCGTTTACAGTACTATAGCATTAAGAATTTAAGACTACGTAGGCAAATTTAATAAAAATTGCAGTTAATATGCTGTGAATTCTAAGGAACATTATATCAAATTTTCAGGATATGTTTTCTCGTAAGAATTTTTATGCAGTAAACCCGCGACCTACCTTAAGACGGGACGTATTATGTTATAGGCTTCGTGTCCGTCCGTCTGTCCGTCTGTCTGTTAGCTTTTTCGTTTCCGGCTCATAACTTTAATACTACTAGGCCTAGGATTATCAAACTTTGTCATCTGATGCATCTTGGGTAGAAGGTGTGTCGCGCACAAAAAGTAGGTCGCTCTGACCTTTAATTAAGAAGTTATAGCCAAATATGGAAAAATCCTTTCCGGCCCATAACAGGAAAACCATAAGACCCACAATCATCAAACTTGGCCAGTTTATGCATCTTAGGTAGAAGGTGTGTCGCAACCTATTTCAAGGTCACTGTGACCTTTAATTTAAGTGAAATTTAAAAAAAAAATGTGTCTTTTTACTATTCATTTACACATCCCAAATAATGTAAGAGTATTGCACTGTCCTTATTAAAAAAGTGTTAAATCAAGAAAATACTTATTTTTTTAAAGCATATACTTGACAGCAATCTATAACAAATATAATGTATGTTAGAGAAATCCTACCTCTCCCATGAGTGTAATTATCAAGCACTGGTCAAGAAGAATTTTGATAACAGAAAATTGCATGTCAAATTAGAGAGAAATTAATGGGTTTTGAGTGCGAGGAGCTAACTGACAGAGCATTGGTGTTATCTATATCCCTAGAGTATTGGGCAAATGGGTTAGCCTGTTTGATTAAAAATAGACTAGATAGCTCTTGTTGACTAGCTTAAGTTTTAAAATGAATTTGATGAAAAGTAATTAAATTAACTAATTTGATATTGCATTATAGACTAATCTGATATTATGCAATATTATTAATTTAAAAACTAATTTTATGGGGTGGGGTGGAATCAGCATGTCCATATGAATTACATATTAAAACCTGTCGGAAATTAAATCTCAACCCCCCCAAAAAATCTTTGAGTATTTTATATGTTTTTAAAAAAAAATTTATAGTAGATAGTGCAGACCCATTCATCTCTTGGTAGTAATGAGTAGACAAGCATCCAGTTAAAGATTAATTAATGAGTTCAATGTAGGAAGGCTAGCTGTCTCAGTCGCTCTGATTAAGCACCCTTTGGGGATTAGACAGAAGAACTGCTGGTCAGTTTATAACATATGTCATTTGATGGCCAGCCTTTTCTTTTCAAAATTAATTTGGTATAGATTAAGTTGTTAAGACTAATTTGATGATGGGCATTTGACAAGGTCTAACACAACCAGCACAGAAATCTATCAGTGATGTAATAATTTATTATAATTGATGCCTACATCACAGGGGATGGATAAATATTTTAAGGAATGGAAAAATCATTGAAATCTTAGAATCAAGGTTGAGGTGATTTTCTTGCACCTAAACTGTTCAAGAAAATTGTAATTTTTTTGACGGGCGTATCATGCTGTGGCGCGGCACTTTATTTAGAAGTTTCCTGATCCTAATTTTATATTTGTTCAAGTTAAATTTGTTCTATTAAACTGTTTATTAAAAGTAAATAATGTTCCATACTTGTAGAATACCACATTTTGGTTTGTTTTTAATTCAGACAGAGCTGGTGTCCTCCCCGGTACTCTATACAGGATGCTAATCGTCAGGAGATCCTACATATCAGTGGACCTGTCTGTATGATTACAGGGCCATGCTGTCCTAATGACATCGACTTTGATGTTAGTATCAGCTGGACTTGAAATTAATGTCATAAGTATAACATGTAAAAAAAAAAACCTTTTTATTAATTAACATTCTGAGTGTAAGGTAAATTGAACCCTTTATGAAACTTAAGTGTTTAAAAAAAAATTATAGTTTGCACTAAATAAATTGTTTTTAATTCAGTTTAAAGCCTTATAGAAGAAAATATGTTATGATTGATTCAGTTTCCCTGTGACATCATAAAAAATTTGACCCAATATTTTAATGAAACAAGGAAACATATAATGCATTATGTGAAAATGTGCTTAAAGGTCTTGGCTAAAGATGGAACTACACAAGTGGGAAAGATCAGTAAGCAATGGAGTGGAATGATGAGGGAGTATTTCACTGATGCTGACAACTTTGGAGTTTCTTGTAAGTTTAGATTGCTACATTTTAATCTCTGTAAAAAGAAACTGCAGACCAACATTGTTTAATCCTTTAAAGTCCAATTCAGTTTCTTTTTTTATCACATTTCCGTAGAGTTAGGTTTCAAATTTCATTATTGTGTTACGTACAGTTTGGATTTAATGGATTTTAATGATGAGGAATCGACTGAGTAAAAATATGATTTTCTTTTATTGCTGCCTTATGTATTTATAAAATGAGGATTTTTGATGTACAGTACCTTGTTTGGCTCTTTCTCCATAAACAGTGTTATAAAATCAAAACATGCAAAAAAAATTCATGTGATGTACTTGTATACTTAAGTCAAGATATATTCCAATTTAAAAAAGAAAGCCTATAATCTTCCAAATTACAGTATTTGTTTCACAGTTTAAGATTACGTTACTTCCTATCATAATTTAATTATCTCAGTCACATTCGTTTATTAACATCATCTCATATTAAATTAATATATCCTTCAACAAGTCCTTGCGAACTGGAGAGTAGTAAATTTTTTTCAGTTTTTAAAAATATAGACATTAGACATTATTCTTGTACTTAAATAAAAAGAAGAAAGATCTTAGTAGATTAAAATGAAAATGTTATTTTATATTTGTAGTTCCCATGGATCTAGATGTTAAGATCAAGGCGGTTATGGTTGGTGCAGTGTTCCTCATTGTAAGTTAACTCCGCATTCCTTGCTTAAACTGTAATAAATTAGATAAAATAGTAGTAAGAAAATATAACAAATTTGTTAATATTCATATCTTTGTTAGATAAATAAAATCTTTTTTAAAAAAGATCTTGGATTGGAGAGAATTGTTAACATCAATCTGAGTAGTTTCATACCTGTCACATGCTTGCTTTACATTTTTGAATCAAGTTACGATCACCCTGTTTAACAGTATACCTAAATTATGTAGATTTTTTTTTGAGACTGATCTTTGCAGTTACATTTAAAGGATGAAAAGACTAATGCTTTTGAAGCAGGTTAACATTTTTGTAACAAATCAATAAGTCCTGTGCTGACTAAACTTGGATAGATGATACATCTGAAGATGTACAATACCAGGCTTGACACTGATGTTGGATCTGCATGGTCTACATTAAAGAGTGAATTTTTTTTATTAGAACTTACTGTAAACGTATTACATTTGGCTGTGTATTCTTTTTAGCGGCTTTGGCGGAACACAGCAACCGCTAAATCAAGTACAACACTAAATGTCTTGCACATATACACATCAAGAAGAAAATGAAGAAATGCGCTAAATCAAATCTACGCTAACTTATTCAAAAGTCATTTCCCGCCAAATATCGTACACACTAAATATAATACATTTACAGTATTTCCAAGTAGTGGTAAGACATATATTGACCAAAACTGCATGGAATATACATCTAATTAGGATTCACACTACTGGACTTACTTTGAATGTTGGATTTGGATCTACATATTTCAAAGAAGTGACCAGGTTAAAGATTGTGAAGCAGTTTCTAACATGAAAACTCAAAAACTTGCTTTAGATGCTAGTTTTGACTTACATTTGTTTGATGGGTGAATTGTTACAAGTTTTATATAAGTCTGCAAGCGCTTTCAGATCAACATTGCCTAATATGTTGGAACTAGGGATACAATGAATACCCTACTAGATCAATAGTTTAATTTGGGAATTTGTCTTAATAAATACAGCATTTATTGAAGTGAATTCTATAATATATATAATCTCTATTACCTATTTTCAACATGTAAAGTAGATATATGGAGTAACATTTGTCAAAGTCAGAAAGGGGATTTTGTTTTTGTGTCATCAAGTTTTAATTATTAGCTAATCATTATTAATATTTATATTTTTGTTGCAGGACTTCATGTACTTTGAGAACAACCAAAATAACAATAATCACCATCACTAGTGCTTAGGCAGTTTAAACACTGTAAAATGGGAATTAAATATCCAGAAAAGAAACAAGAACATGAAATCCGAAACCCAGACGTAGCAAAACAGTTAACTTACATAAAAAGTTGTATAATTTGGAGATATACAAAACTAGGAGGAAGATTTTTAGTAGCATTGTACAGAAATAAATGTAGTTTCAATTTACGTATAATTAAATTTTAGAAATAGTTATGAGCTTAATGTATTTTATGTATTTTATTATAAAGATGTAGAGCACAATATAAGCTAAGGAAAGCATTGTAAATGTATTCATAAAGACTATCTTTGTTAGATTATCTTTGGAGATTTATTCATGACTTACAACAATATCATGATTGGAGCCCTATTCTTAAGTTTTCACACTATGTACCATTATTTGACTTTATTGTATGACTCCTCAATTTCTCAACTCTGATTGGCTGATACCCCCTTCATGGGATCATGTTCGCCTCTCATTTTGTTGATATCTTCATTTTTTTAAAAAGTAAATTACTTAAGAAAAAATGAAATTTTAAATGGCTGAATCTTTTGTCAATATAATCATTCACAACATCCCTCACTTATTTCATCCTTCTGATTGATTGATTATATTCTCTTTCTCTTCTATATTCAACATTGACTTAATGAATTCAATGTTGACAAAAGGATTATCATTTTCAGTTTTACTTCCTTTTTAAATGAGAGATTTTTATGTGTTATTCTGAAGTACAGCATCCATTCTATATGTTTACATTTAAACTAAATTTGTTCATTTTAATGTGTCGAATTTATTCAAAGGAAAGAATATGTATACTAGATAGAAACATAAGTGTACATGTTGACATACCATGACAAAATTATCAAGTATATTTTCCACGCAAACCTGCAATGCATGCACAATTTACATTGATACATGTACATAATACACAATCAAATGTTCTTGTGGGATATTCTGTCAATTTTTTAGCTCACCTCAACGAAGTTGGGGGAGCTTATGTAATACCCTCGGCGTCGGTGTCGGCGTCGGTGTCATTCGGCGTCGGTGTCGGCGTCGGCGTCCCGGGTTAAGGTTAAGTTTTTTGGAGCAGTTTTCTTTTTAAGTACTTCTACCTATATTGATTAGACATGCATGGAAGATGGTTCTAGTGTGTTTCATTGTACCAGTCAAAGTTTCAGATGCTGCAATTTCAGCAAAGGAATGACCAGGTTAATGTTTTGGAGCAGGTTAACATTTTTGGTGCAGTTTTTGGTGTAGGTTTCATTTCCAAGTAACTATAAGCCCTATGTTGACCAAACTTGCATGGATTACATCTAAGGATGCATACTACCGGGCTTGCTTCGGATGCTGATTCTGACCTACATTTTCCGGTTGAGTGAACAGGTTAAAGTTTTTGGTGCAAGTTTCATTTCCAAGTAACTATAAGCCTTATGTTGACCTAACTTGCATGGATGATACATCTAAGGATTTTTGTCAGGGCTTGCTTGGGATGCTGAATCTTTACCTGCATTTTCCGGTTGAGTGAACAGGTTAAAGGTTTTGGTGCAGGTTTCATTTGCAAAACTTTAAGCCCTATGTTGACCAAACTTGCATGGATGATTTTCTAAGGATGCATACTATAGAGTTTGCTTCGGAATCTGAATCTGACCTACATTTTCCGGTTGAGTGAACAGGTTAAAATTTTTTATGCAAGTTTCATTTCCAAGTAACTATCAGCCTATAAGGTTGACCAAACTTGCATGGATGATACTTCTAAGGATGCATACTACCGTGCATGCTTTGGATGCTTTTGCTGACCTACATTTTCCGATTTTGAACAGGTAAAAGTTGTTGGTGCAGGTTTCATTTGCAAGTAACTTTACGCCCTATGTTGACCAAACTTGCATGGATCATACATCTAAGGATGCACACTTCCGGGCTTGCTCGGATGCTGATACCTACATTTTCTTTGAGTGAACAGGTAAAAGTTGTTGGTGCAGGTTTCATTTCCAAGTAACTATTAGTTCTTTTTTGACCAATCTTGCATTGATGATACATCTAAGGATGCATACTTCCAGGCTTGCTTCGGATGCTGAATCTGACCTACTTTTTGTGGATGAGTGAAAATGTTAGTTTTTGATGCATGTTTCATTTCCAATTAACTATGAGCCCTATAATGAGCAAATTTGCATGGACGATACATCTTTGGATGCACACTAATGGACTTGCTTCGGATGCTGAATTCGACATACATTTTTCAGATAATAGACCAGGTAAAAGTTATGGGTGCAGGTCTATTACCAAAAAACTATAAGGCTTATATAACATTGTATAAACCAAACTTGCACAAATGTTGCATCAAGAGATGAAAACTCTCAAATTTGCTTCAGATGCTGGATTTTGATTACATTTTCATGAAGAAGAACTAGTTTAAATTTTTTATGTAGGTCTATTGCAAAGTATCAGATCAAAATTGCTTAAATATTTTCATATTTGGAATGTACACTTTTTGTTGGTTAATTGTGTGACTTTGCCTTACTTAAAGACAACATTCGGTTGATGAGCTCTGTAATCTCTGATTACCTATGTTTTCATCTATTGTCGGAAAATCTTTAATACATGTTCAATGCCTTAAAAAATACATTCCTTGCATGATCTGCATCCCTCCTTGTGTTTGATGTGGATTAACTTACTGTTACATATTAAGTAAATTTGGGATGTGCTGTTGTTAATTTTTCTTTTATTTTTAGTTTTCAGTTATTTAATTGCAAATGCTGATTTCCAAACATAGTTGATATACACTGTAATCTAACATACAGTACTAGGCATTAGGTGTTTGCATATGTTTGACATTTTCCTTTCTACTGCACCATGTGTATTAACCCAGTATTACTAATGTCATTTTTCTTTATTTTGTCTTTCAAAATGTTGTAACAGTTAACTTTTAATTATTTATTCCATCAATGAATTTGTTAATTATTTGGTCACATGTAATTTTTTGGTACTTTGCCCCTGTGTACATGTGAAAGCTTCAATTCAGGTCAATTTACTGCAAAAAAGGTAGCAAAATGTGATGTTGCTTTTGAAAAATTTCAAGTTAAACAAAACCATCAATATTTTTGATGCATCTGATAAAAACTATAATCTTAGCAGGAATTTTTCTTGCTTTGAGAATGTGAAAGGTTTAAATTGACAATCTTAATTTTAACCTGGTGATCTTTGTTTCTTATTGTATTATATTTCAGGGTTTTATTGTTTAATGAGCATATTTTATGTACCTCTAATTGAATTTTATCCCCTATCATTTTGATTTTAAAATACATTTTGTAGTTCAATACGTTTAATATAAATTGTAGTTTATGTAGTAAGATTTACCGTATTAGAATTTTATTGATTTAATCTTTGCTGTTAATATAAATTTATTTTTTAAAATGATGCTGAATTGTCTTTCCTTTTTAATGCTACATCATTGTAGTTGAATGCTATCTTCTGATTAACCACAGTGACAATAGACTCTACTGTTCAGTTAATTATTTGGAATGCTCAATTTCATCATCTGAAATATGTATGAATTTAATATCAGGACATAATTAAAACTTATGTGATGTACCTTCTGCACAATTATATAGCTTGTTAGAAATTTAATAGTATACCCCCCCCCCCTCTTCCCTAGTTTACTTGACATCGTTATTCTGAATCACCTGATATTAGACTATGTATCTGAATTAAGGATGAAAATATTTCTGTGTGATAAATATGAAATAAGAGTTGAACTGTTATGTGAAAATTAGCTATTTACTTGAAATACCTCCACATAAATATGAAAAGAATTGAAGGTATCACTTTCTAGCTAGGTATTCCACTGGATGAACGACAGTTAGACATGTGGAATAATTTCTATAAGGGACAATGCTCATGAAATGCAACAAATAGCCAACATGTCCAACTGTTGTTAGGTCACTGGCATATTCAAACAGACATGTATTCTTTATATTTACATTAGTGAAATGACATACTGTATTTGATGTACGTCAGGAATGCTAATAGTGCTGAAATACTCCCAATATTCCTTGTAAATTTCCACATCCATGAGATCTCCATTGAAACATCTACGGAACAGGTGGTGGAATATGTTAAGCTGATAAAGTTCTTTTGTATAAAGTAATTTCATGAAAAAATATATCATATCGTAATTTTAAGCTGCATTGCTAAATTAAAGTACTGTATTTTTTGGCTCACCTGAACCAAAGGCTTAAGTGAACGTTTCTAATCGCAATTTGTCTATCTGTCGGCCCGTCTGTAAACTTTTCACATATTCGACTTCTTCTGAAGACCCATTGGGCTAATTTTAACCAAACTTGGTACAAAGCACCCTTGGGTGAAGGGGAGTTTAATTATTGAAATGAAGGACCAAGTCCCATCACACGGGGAGATGATCAAGAAAAGACAAAAATTGGGTGGGGTCATTAAAAATTCAAGGATGGGGCTACAATGGAGTATCAATGTTTAACATAGGAATACGTAGGAAAAATCTCAAGAACAGCAAAGGCGTTATTGGTCCTAGATATATGGAAGCAACCTCTGGTAGTGTGGATTCAAGTTTGTTCAAATCAAGACCCCAGGGTAGGATGGGGCAACAATAGGGTATCAAAGATTAACATAGGAATACGTGTTCCAGTCATGACTCCTGGGGCAAGGGTAGGACCACAATGGTTGATCAAAGTTTTAAGAAGGATAACATAGGAAAATATCTTTAAAATTCTTCTTCTCAAGAACAAAGCTGTGATTGTTCATACATGTATTTGTATGGAAGCATCCCCGGGTAGTGTAAATTCAAGTTTGTTCAAATCATGACCCCCGGGGGTAGAGTATAGGGCCACAATGGGAGATCAGGGTTTTATGTAGGAATGCACAGGAAAAAATCATTAAGATTCTTCACAAGAACAATAAATCCTTGATTGATCATCAATATAAAAGCTTAAAGAAGTATAGATGTAAGTTTGTTCAAGCATCCCCCCCTCTTAAACCTGGTTTTATTTTGAAACAATACCGAATTGAGTTTTGCTTTTACGAAGCTAGTTGCTCAGGTGAGCGATGTGGCCCATTAGGCATCTTGTTTTTCAAATGTACTGCTCTTTTTAGGTCACCTGAGTAACCCAGGTGACCTATTGCTATCCGTTTTCGTCCGGCGTCGTGCGTTAACATTTGAACATTTCCAAATTCTTCTCTGAAACCTTTCAACCAATTTTTGTATGATGAATGTATGGAAAAAGGGGAACAAAAATGGTGAATTATATGGTCCCCGCCCCCCCCCCCCTGGGGCCTGAGGGGTGGGACAAAAATCACTAAAATTAATGAAGTCTTTAAAAGTCTTCTTCCTTTACTCCTGGACATCAAGCAGTCAAACTGTTGGTATGTATGTAATGAGCATTGAGTCCTCCACCAAAATCATGAAATTCATGGCCTCAGGGTCAGGTTCTAGTGCATGGCCCCAGGGTCAGGTGTTCTGGTGTTAGGGCGGGGCTGTATTGATTATCATAGTGAAAATACATTAATTCTTTAAAAATCTTCTCTAGATCTGCTCCTGTTATGATGAGCAAGAGTGCCTCTTCCAAAATTGTGACTTTTATGGCCTCAGGATTGGGGGTTCTGGTGTTAGGGCGGGGCTCTATTGATTATATAGTGAAAATACATTCAATTCTTTGAAAATCTTCTTTTCTGCTCCTGGGTATCAAATAAATTAAGTACAAATGTACATGCACTTTGTTATGATGAGCAAGAGTGCCTCTTCCAAAATTGTGAACTTCATGGCCCCTGGGTCAGGGGTTTTGTCATTTGGTGTAAGGGGGATCTTTTGATTATATAGTGAAAAAACATTAAATCTTTGAAAATCTTTTCCTTTGCTCCTGGGTATTATGCCAATGATCTAAGTATATACCGTATATTTATGACGAAGAAAGGTGCATCTTGCAAAATGGTTAATTTCATGCCCCCTGGTTCAGAGGTATGGGGGGGGGGTACATTGTCTTTAAAATAAATTAATGCTTTGAAATCTGCTCTTTGGTATTAAAAAACTATTTATGATGAATTTGAATTTGTGATAATATTTCCAAATTTTTGAAATATGTGGCCACAGGGTCTGTGGTTCCTGTGGGGTGGGGGTGCATAACTGATTATAAAGTGGAAGTGCATTTTCTCTTTGTTACTCTGATCTACCTCTTGAGATTAAGTAACTAGAGTAAGCATGCTTAATGTATAATTATAATAAGCAAAAGTGCCTCTTTCAAAATTGTGAATTTCATGGCCTCTGGTTCAAGACACGAACCAAATTCAATTGTTCGAAAATTGTTACATGATACACAGGTGACCTATAAGGCCCGTGGGCATCTTGTTAATTATTTATTAAATTTTTTTTTAAAACTAGTTTAAAAAAAAAACATTTTAAAGCTACTGTTAATTATTTATCAACTTCTTGCAAACTTTAAAATTTTGAATAAATTTCTGATTTCCGTTTCAAAAGATAAATTAATGAATGGTCATTAAGAAATCAAACTTGAACCACAATAGATTATCAAAGTTAAACATAGGAATACGTGTTCCAATCATGACTCCTGGGGCAAGGGTAGGACCACAATGATTGATCAAAGTTTTAAGAAGGATAACATAGGAAAATATCTTTAAAATTCTTCTTCTCAAGAACAGCAAAGCTGTGATTGTTCATACATGTATTTATATGGAAGCATCCTCGGGTAGTGTAAATTCATGTTTGTTCAAATCATGACCCCCGGGGGTAGAGTAGGGCCACAATGGGAGATCAGGGTTTTATATAGGAATACACAGGAAAAAATCATTAAGATTCTTCACAAGAACAATAAAGCCTTGATTGATCATCAATATAAAAGCATAAAAAAGTATAGATGCAAGTTTGTTCAAGCACCCCCCCCCCCTCTTAAACCTGTTTTTGTATTGAAACAATACTGAATTGAGTTTTGCTTTTACGAAGCTAGTTGCTCAGGTGAGCGATGTGGCCCATTAGGCATCTTGTTTTTCAAATGCACTGCTCTTTTTGGGTCACCTGAGTAACTCAGGTGACCTATTGCTTTCCTTTTTTGTCCCGCGTTAACATTTGAACATTTTCAACTTCTTCTCTGAAACCTTTCAACCAATTTTTGTATGATGCATGTATGGAAAAAGGGGAACAAAAATGGCGAATTTTATGGTCCCTGCCCCCTGGGGCCTGAGGAGAGGGGCAAAAACCACTAAAATTTATGAAATCTTTAAAAATCTTCTTCCTTTACTCCTAGACATCTAGCAGTCAAACTGTTGGTATGTATGTAATGAGCATTGAGTCCTAAACCAAAATCGTGAAATATGGCCTCAGGGTCAGGGGTTCTAGTGCTAGGACGGGGCTAATAAAGATTTAAGTGAAAATGCATTATTTCTTTGAAAATCTTCTCTGCCCCTGGGTATTAAATAAACTAACTAAGTACATAGTTATGATGAGCAAGAGTGTCTCTTTTAGAATTGAGAATTTTATGGCTCCAGGGTCAGAGGTTCTGGTGTTAGGGCGGGGCTGTATTGATTATTATAGTGAAAATACATTAATTCTTTAAAAATCTTCTCTAGATCTGCTCCTGGGTATTAAATAAATTAACTTAGAACATAATTATGATGAGCAAGAGTGCCTCTTCCAAAATTGTGACTTTTATGGCCCCAGGATTGGGGGTTCTGGTGTTAGGGCGGGGCTCTATTGATTTTGTAGTGAAAATACATGTACATTTAATTCTTTTAAAATCTCCTCCTCTGCTCCTGGGTATCAAATAAATCAAGTACAAATGTACATGTACTTTGTTATGATGAACAAGAGTGCCTCTTCCAAAATTGTGAACTTCATGGCTCCTGGGTCAGGGGTTTTGTCATTTGGTGTAAGGGGGTCTTTTGATTATATAGTGAAAATACATTAAATCTTTGAAAATCTTTTCCTTTGCTCCTGGGTATTATGCCAATGATCTAAGTATATACCGTATACATGTATTTATGACGAAGAAAGGTGCATCTTGCAAAATGGTTAATTTCATGCCCCCTGGCTCAGAGGTAGGGGGGTATATTGTCTTTAAAATAAATTAATGCTTTGAAATCTGCTCTTTGGTATTAAAAAACTATTTATGATGAAATTAAATTTATGATAAATATTTCCAAATTTTTGAAATATGTGGCCACAGGGTCTGTGGTTCCTGTGGGGTGGGGGTGCATAACTGATTAAAAGTGGAAGTGCATTTTCTCCTTGTTACTCTGATCTACCTCTTGGGATTAAGTAACTAGAGTAAGCATGCTTAATGTATAATTATAATAAGCAATAGTGCCTCTTTCAAAATTGTGAATTTCATGGCCTCTGGTTTAAGACACGAACCAAATTCAATTGTTGGAGAGTTGTTACATGATACTCAGGTGACAAAAGGCCCGTGGGCATCTTGTTAATTATTTATAAAAATTTTTAAAAAGAAACTCGTGTCTTTGAAAAAAAAACCCTTTAAAGCTACTATTAATCGTGTCTGTTATTGACAGATTTTTAGAACTATTTAAATGAATTTTATAATGAATTTCAAAATTGATATTAACTTATTTATCAACTTCTTGCAAACTTTAAAATTTTGAATAAATTTCTGATTTCTGTTTCAAAAGATAAATTAATAAATAGACAATAAGAAATCAAACTTGTGGTACTCCTCGCTTAACAACAATGGGCTAGCGCAATATTGTTATCAGTTAAAAACTTTCCGACAAATGAAAAGTTTCTCGGGAAGGATGAGTTCAACACCCCCAGAAGGTGAAGCAATCATATAATTATTTCTCTGTGCACTAGTGCATAACGGCATTGTCTCATTTGTTCATTTTTTCATGTTTTTTAGTTCCCTTTTCCTGTTCTGTCCGAAACATGAAAATATTGGCGGCTTTTAAAGTGTTAATAATCTTAGAAATAATTGAATCAAGCCACAATTTTCCAAATAATGGAAATCTAAATTTGTTTCTGAGGTCAAACAACAGAGTCTACACGCTCAATATTAATGGAAATAGAGTCCATTTGAGGAAACCCATCATTAGGTAAGGTACAGCTTTTAATTTCTTGAACGAGAATTTTACTTTACTGTGTTAATGGAAGGATAGGTGTAGATTTAAATCATGTAAATTGGGTTCTCTTGTCCGACACCAAAACGCTTTAAGTCTTCTTAATCTTTTAAAGGTCATCATAATACATTGGACGCCTATCAATGGCATCTTTGTTTCAGCAATTGCGGTTTCCCCAAGTTACTTTAAGTGATTTTTTTTATTCTTTGCTTAACCAACATTCTTAAAAGCTTTAAAAATGTTTCATTGCATTAGTTGTCATATTTTAAGACAGGACAACTTGAATCGAGTTTATTATAAGTACATGTATATCATGTATATATTAAAATTATATTTTATTCACCTTGCTTTTTAACTCTATAGCTTTTAATGGAGGGCCCCAATGTATTTGAAATATTTAGAGATAATGAACAGTATTCAAGCTCATAAGTCCATTAAAAGCACAAAAAACTCAATTGAAAAGTAAAAGTCATCCCGTTTATTATAAAGCTTGGTTGTTAGATTATACCAGTACCATTAACGTCTTTTTTCAAGTATCAAAGTTTCAAAGTATCCCAATATGAAACATGTGTCAGACTCTGTGGCATCTTTTATTTAGAGATCACCGGGATATATGGTATCGACATCAGAATGGAAAATATATAGCCATTGTTAATTAATTGATAATACGTCGTCGATTGATATAGAAAATGTATCTAAATGTCGAGTTGAAGGCCACAGCAAGTGTTTTCTTCTTTTCACGTAAGATTTTAGACAAATTCTGCTTTGACTCAGAATTTGAATACATACATGGCACTGTTCATATTTAATTCTATGTCTACATCCCTATACATTTTTATACGCTACAAAGACTCGCGTCAGAAAGTGATGACTAAAGGGGCAATCGTCTCCCAACACTTAAAATCTGCCTGACAGACATGCAATTTAATGTTAACACGTATAATCTGCCTTTCTCGCTGTCTTCCTTGCATGGGGATTGAACAAAAAAGCTACAATTAATTGTCCATATGTCATTCAATTTAGTGACCTTCCTTGTCCTTACTTTGTACAAGTCAACGAAATGTCCACATTATGTTTTTAAATTTTAAAATATGCCTTAATTTCACCTTAAATTCAAATCAGAGGTCTTGATTTATTTCGTTATACATGAACATTATTTTTCCCTTTTTAAAAGTTGATTTACGTAGGATTGTAAACCAAACAATATACATTAAATTTTGATTAAAAACACTGTTTGATAAACATGAATAGAGATAATATTACTTTGTAAATATATATTACCGGTATTCTATATTTCAATCAGCATGTAACTTATTTAGTCGATCGATTTGTTTTAATTTTTCATGTTTTTGAGGGATAACGATATAATTATGTGAATATTGTTAAAAGTTACTTGTTATTTTTAAATTAAATCTTGAAGCCACCAATTTTTTTTATATAGAGTTCAGATAATCATATTCTTTTTTAAAGCCTCGGAGGTACGCGTAAAACTAAAAATGAAAGGAGGACAGAGACAAAGGACATTCTAGTTAGTGAGACGTCAGGGAGGGAGAATATTACAGCCATCATCAGTAGATCGTCTCTTCGGCGCCTGAAACGGCAAACTTATCCAGGTTTATCTCTCTCTCATGCATAAAAACACACATTCGCCCTAGATTCAAGCATTTTAACTTTCATTTCTCGAAATATGGCTGAAATCAACAAAATCAACAATATTATATAAATCAATTAACTTTCATTTCTTACAAAAGTGTTACATGTAATCTAGATTTACGAGGAAGCGTAGAGTTATGTGGCTTTGTATTATTTCCCAGGGACAAAATGGTGTGGTGTCGGTAACGAGGCGACAAGATACGAAGACTTGGGAACCATTGAAGACGTGGATAGGTGTTGCCGAGATCATGACTTCTGTAATGTAAAAATTGAGGCAGGGAAAAGCGATTATGGACTGAAGAATGATGGATTTTTCACAATGTGAGTTTAAATATTTAAATGCATTACCTGTACAGTACTAATTCAAATAATATGAAGTGTTTGAGTTATGCTGATGCAGTCCTCAAAAGTTTATTCTTCAATCGAAATGTTTTTGAAAGCTCTTTTCCTTCTTAAGTTTCAAAAGTTACTTTAATGTAAATAGGAAATTGATTCTTCCCTCAGTTATGTTTATTTTTTCATATTAGATGGTCTCTTTTCATAATTTTATAATCAATGTTCCGGTACTGGATTACACAGTGTATGACTAGGAGCACATGACGGGTGTGACTGGTCGACTAGGGATGCTTACTCTTCCATGTCACCTGAACCCATTTTTGATGTTTGAGAGGTCCGTGTTTGATCTGCTCCTGATTTGTATTGCTTTAATTAACTTTTTTTAGCATGATTACAATTCGTTATCTTCATAATTCAATCAATATGTTTTTTTAAAAGCAGTTATGCTGCATTGTATATATATTGTTAAATAGTACCAAATATATGAATGTAACAATATTGTTGATAAATATAAGTTAAAAATTCTTTTTGTACATACTATTATATATTAATTACTCTACATGTCTTTCTTATCATAAATCATCTTATCTGCTATAATCTTACCCATTTTATCAGTTGTTTTTTTTTTTTTACGTCTACTTGTTCCTGCCATCAATTTTTTTTTGGTGTCACACTCTTTACTTCCATGCCCCTTTAGGATCCCAAACTGGACTAAAAGAAATCATCATGATCATAAATTTCATTTGTTTGTAGAGTACCGTGTGAATTCTTCATGAATTTCATTTGTTTGTAGAGTGTCGTGCGAGTGTGAGAGGGCCTTTTACGATTGTTTATCAGCTGTACCACGATACCCTCACGCGGCTATTATTGGATTTGTCTACTTCGATCTTTTTAGTCCAAAATGTATTGGAAAGAAAAAAGTGTGTACTAGGTATATGTAAGTATCCAAAAAGCCCCCCAAGAAACTTATTAGTGAAGATATGTACTTTTGATTTGGCAAAATTATTCGTTATCTTTTGCATAATGCAAAGAAAAAAAGAATGAAAAAAAGGGAAAACATTAAAAAAGCGGTCAGTTTGCTTTTGTCTTTTTATGAATTATAGCAATTATTTGTGTATTATACTTTTGATATGTCCGTATGTACTCCTGTCAAAAGTCAAATATATGTAGCTTTTCACTTGATACAAATTTGACTGATGATACCGATTTTTATGTATTTCTTATGTAATTATTAATGCAACCATAGGTTTAGCTTGAATGATCACTCAAATATCAGTTAGAACTTTGAAAGGAATTTTTCAAATGCTGCTTCAATCCATAGATACATGTATGGTGTACCTTTTTGAAGCTTCCTTTGTCGTTCAGGTGATCTTTTCCGTCTTTATTCGTCTGTCGTCTTGTGACTTGCTTCGTCCGTTAACATTTGAGTATTTTTAACTTTTCATTTTGAACAGCTTGATCAAATCCAACCTTTTTAATGTTATATTGCATGTATGGGGAATGGGGAAGAAAAATTATGAATTGGACGGTACAAGACCCTTGAGACTGGGGTAAAATATTCTGTAATTTTTTAATCCTTAACATAGCGGGTTGCAGTAAATGCTCAACAAAACTGCTTTCTTTACTCCTTACTAATATATTAGTGAAGGAGAAATTTCAACAATATATTCAAGAAGTGGTGTAAATCAGATGTGGATACTTAAAAAATCCAAGGAACGTTTGGATAATTTGAAATCACATGGTTTTACCAAAATTAGCAGCTTAAAAACTTGTAATTTTATACACAACCATTCCCCACAATAAATTAAAGTCCAGGCTTTTTGATATCATTGACAGCTGCTTTTTCAATAAAAATGGAATTCGTATATGTTTACTTACCTTGTCATTGGTCTTTTGCAAAATTATTTTGTCAAAAAACATTCTGATTGTACAAACAAGTACTCTGAAGTTGACATCAAAAAGATGCTTGAGTTTCTGATTGACAATATCTATGTGGTTCTTGGAGACCAAGTCTTCCAACAATTTGATAGAATTCCCATGGGTACCAATTGCGCCCCATTATTAGCAGACCTATTTTTGTTTTCATATGAAGCAGAATTTGTCCAAAATATTGTACGTGAAAAGAAGAAAACACTTGCTGTGGCTTCAACTCGACATTCAGATATATCGACGATGCATTATCAATTAACAATGATAATTTCCATTCTTATGTCGAATCGATACTGAGTATATCCTATGAGCTTGAGATAAAAGATACCACAGAATCAGACACTTCTTTTTCATATTTGGATATTTTATTTGAAAAAGGCGTCGATGGTAATATAACAACCAAGCTCTATGATAAACGTGATGACTAGCTTTAACTTTACAATTTTCAACTTCCCTTACTTATGCAGCAATATACCTTCATCATCTGCATACGGAGTTTATATCTCTCGGTTGATTCGATATGCAAGAGCATGCTCTACGTATGAACAATTTCTAAAACGAGGTAAATTATTGACAAACAAATTGATGAAAGAAGAATATCAGCAGCATTGTTTAAAGTCATCATTTGGTAAGTTCTATGGTCGATACAATGACTTGTCAGCAAATACAATTTATCATTGAGTCAAATGCTGACTGACGTTTTTCATACTAATTGTTCGTCCATTATTTATACACTGAATTAACGACAAATTTTTCCGTTATTTCCCGATCATGACACGGAGCACACAGCGGGCGTGACCGGTCATCAGGGGATGCTCACTCCTCCGTGGCAGCTGACCCCACTCTGATGTTTTGGAGATCCGTGTTTGCTCTGTTCCTATTTTGTATTGTTTTATGGACTTTGATCTTGAATACTGTTCGTTATCTCCATATGTTTCATCAAGCAGTCAAGCTTTGAAATCCATAGATCCTCTTCAAAAATTGTTTAATTCCAGGCCTCAGGGTCACGGGCTTAGTGTAGGTAATACTCTGTAGATTTTTCACTGAAAATGCGAAAGTTCTTCAAAAGTCTTGTGTATTACATGTAAAGATGGAATTACCTAAAGGTAAAGGTGAATGCAAAACTTACAACAAAATTATAAATTCTGCATCCTCCTCCGCCTAGTTAATTAAAATTTTACACCAAAAATGTTTAGAATAAAATTTAAAAAAATCAATAAACTAGTTAGTGCTTATTTATGATGACAGGGATTTCTCTTCCAAAACTGTGAAATTCATGATCCTTGAATCAAAGGTTCGGGTGCAACTTTTTTTTTGTAGTGAAAATACATCAATAATTTTGAAAATATTTATCCCTGAAACTGGGTAATTTAGTAAACAAACTAAAATAGAGTAATAAAACTGTTATGTAATTTTACCTGCAGTATTAATTAAAGGTTTTTGAATTTCCATGCTAAAATACAGAATATAGATTAAGCAACGTTAACTTTGCAACAGCAGTCAAGGTTTTATGCTATGTACGATGAGACTTTTAAGAAAAAAAGAGTTGGGATATCTTCCTTTTCGTATCTCTTGAATAGTAACTAACGGGACTATTGAAACCTTCTAAGCTTTTCAAAATCTTGTGACAAATATGGAAGAATGTATAATAAATTCATAATAATATATAAAAATGTCATATCTGTAATGCAGAAAAATAATATAACTTTCTACTCCTCTGCTTACTTGTGCAAATTTCAGATATTCTTTTTATTCCTTTGCAGATTTTGGAGGACCGTTTGTATATCATGGAAGGAATCTGAAAAAGTTGATTTACTATCAAATAAATTAGACTGGTTTTTGTAATATTGTACTTGCAATCCAATGCTGTAAAGTTAAAACATTTTATACATGTTAAATATCACTTTTTGAAATTGTTCATTGACGTTGATTTATAAACAGATTGTTATAATATATATTGTTTGTTTGTTTGTTTTTGTTTTTGTTTTTTTCGCTAAACATATTTGTACCTTTTATTCTCAATTTAATAATAATATTTGAACATTTCAATATTATAATTAAATATTTTTCATTGAGTAACCTTTTTTTTCATTAGGCAAGCTTCCAAAACAAACCAATAAAATTCTTTCTATAGTTTTGCCTGTGCTGGAAATGTTAATCAAAGAGCCTTGGATACATTAATTTCCCCGTCCCTGTAGATCTAAAATTCGCGTGTTTATATAACAATGTACATTTATATGTGAGAATCTTATTTGAGACTGGCATTGTTTTGATCCCTCCCCCTAAAAATGACCCAGATTTGTGTACATTACCCTTATTATCATTAATGCTTTTTTTTTTTTTTAAAGAAAACGAATTGATTTTTTAAACATAATTCATACTATTACATTATTAGATTTTTAACATAATTTATTATTATTACATTATTATACATTAATTCGTTTTTATAACCTTTTGGCAACTAATCGTGAGAGAACCCAAAAAATTCACATATGTTAATTAATTGTAATAAGTTTATGTGATCTTCAACCTCGAAATCCAGTTGTACCCTTTGTATCAACAATATATATGCATGATACTGATAACTAAAACAAATCAAACGTTAAAAAGAGTACACTTATTTGAAACATTTTATCATGTTAGTACAAAATTATATTTAATGTCCTCATGAAGTGTGTAATGCCTGACGTCACGGCGTCAGGCACTACTAAGGATCAATCACAGGCACCTGACGTTACTTATTTTTCTTTTAATAAAAAAAATATACACATACCGAATAATAAACAAGGTACCCATCGAAACCCGCCATCTTGGATTTTCGAAGTAGGTCATCACTTGTATTTTAAACTTCGTGAAATAAATTTGCAACCATATATCTTTAAGTGGTCAGTCTTTCAAGGTCTAAACTTACGGACACTGCAGCCAGAAAGTTTGGATAATTTGAAATCACATGGTTTTAAAAAAATCAACAGCTTAAAAACTTGTATACTTTTTTCAATTTTTTTTTACACAGCCATTCCCCACGATAAATTAAAGTCCAGGCATTTTGGTATCATTGACAGTTGCTTTTTCAATAAAAATGGAATTCGTAAATTTTCTTAGCTTGTCATGGGTCATTTACAAAATACTTTGTGAAAAACATAATTACACACAAGTTTGAAATTTTAATCAAAATGTTCGATTATAGAAATGAAAAAAATCTAAAATGGTTCTTGAAATATAAAACACTTCTTATAAATATACCTGTAAAATATACTTATTAATCCTATTTTTGTTTTCATATGAAGCAGAATTTGAATAAAATATTGTACGTGAAAAAATAAAAATCAACAACAAATCATTCTGATATATTGAATGCATTATCAAAAAACAATATAATTTCAAACTCTCCAGTTATATATATGTATACATATATACTTGGCATATGCTTAATATGAAAAAGGAGAAGGATCACACTGATAAAAGGATATGTAATGAAATCAAATATAAGCTTATGCGAATGTATTATAGTATAATGACTTGTCAGCAAATACAATTTAAAATGTCGCCATGCCACTACTTTTTGCAATACATAAAATTGTCCATTATTTATACACATTTGACGGGATTTTTAGTGTGGAACATGGCACGGAGCACACACGGGCGTGACATACTTTTAAAGTCAATCCTCTGCACCTAACGCTCAATCAGGGCATCAATAATGACAGTGTTTGCTCTGTTCCCCGCTTGTAAAGTTTTATGGACTTTTGATCTTGAATACTGTTCGTCATCTCCATATGTTTCATCAAGCAGTCAAGCTATAATATCCATAGATCCTCTTAAAATTGTTTAATTCCTCCACACGGGCTTATCTAGGTAATACTTTGAGCTTTTGCAATGAAATTTAGCAAAGTTCTTCAAAATGCTTGTGTATTACATGAAGAAAGATGGATTTTGAAGATAAAGGTTAAGGTCATAAATAAACAAAATTGTAAATTTTAAAACACTTTCTTTCCACACGATAATTAAAATTTTACTAAAAAAAAATTTTAAACAATAAACAAGTTAGTGCTTATTTATGATGACAGGTATTTCTCTTCCAAAATTATGAAATTCATGATCCTTGAATGAAAGGTTCGGGTGTAACTTTTTTTCGTAGTGAAAATGCATCAATAATTTTGAAAATATTCATGCAATGTAATTTTAAACAAAACTAAAATAGAGTAATAAAACTGTTATGTAATTTTACCTGCAGTATTAATTAAAGGTTTTTGAATTTCCATGCTATTTTTACAGAATATAGGCATTAGGAGAGTTAACTTTGCCATAAAACAGGTTATCGGTTTTATGCTATGTACATCTATTATACTTTTAATAAAAAATAAATCAAACACCATGGATTGTGTAAAATTTTGAATAGAATACCGAACATGAAAAAATGAATATATACAAAATGTGACTTCTGTTCTGCATATACTTCACTCAGTGTTTTAAGGTTGTATAATTAATTCTCTCGCTTAAAATGTCATATCTGTAATGCAGAAAAATAATGTAACCTTTCTTTTTTCTCTTTTTTTTTCAGATATTTTTTTTTTTGCAGATTTTGGAAATGTTAGTATATCAGCATGTGAAATGAAAAATTTATGAGGTTATAAAATAAATTACACTGTGTTTTTATAATAAAATTTTTGCAATCCAATGCTAAAGTTAAAACATTTTATACATGTGAAATATCACTTTTTGTTATTGTTCATTGACGTTGATTTATAAACAGATTGTTATAATATATATTGTTTTGTTTGTTTGTTTGTTTTTTGTTTTTTGTTTTTTGCTGAACGTATATGTACCTTTTATTCTCAATTTAATAATAATATTTGAACATTTCAATATTGTAATTAAATATTTTTCATTGAGTTACCTGTTTTTCGTTAGGCAAGTTTCCAAAGCAAATCAATAAAATTCTTTCCATAGTTTTGCCTGTGCTGGAAATGTAATTTGAGAGAAATAAAAAGAATTTCCCCATCTCTGTATATTAAAATTCGTTGTTTATTGTATGTAATATTGTTTTTTTGATCATCTTATTTGAGACTGGTTATTTTTAAAAATAAATCCCACAAATATATTACCAATCAAAAAAGGGCTTTCCCTACAGAATTTCAATTGATTTCTTACATGAATCACGTTTATATTCTGAAGAAAAAATTATTTTAAAAGTATCAATATAAATGATAAGACACTGACAGTGATTTTTCAATAATTGCAAGTGTGATGCGATTTTGTCAGAATCAGAATTAATCTGGTACCGCAGCTGAATGTAAACAAAAGGCCAGTCTGGTTCCCTCTCCTGCTTTACCTCGTATGTGTAGAGAACTACGGTAACACTGATTATCAAAAATCCTTACGCTAATGAACTTTGTTCTTTGACTTAGGACTGGAGTTTTCAAAGTCATTACTACAAATGTTTATTTATACAGATAAAACTTCGTTTTATTTTTGTTTCTTTATTTAGCGTTTGTATTATCTCAAAAGTGGTTGAGAGTAAGAGCAAAATTTTTGCACGTAACTTTAAAATGGCGATTTTGTTACCTGCGTTTCAACAACAACAGTTAGCAGAAAAATAACCAATTGCTCTTACGATATATTGATGAATTAATTTCCTGTAGTTTTGTAGATTATCCTTATTATCATTAATGCTTTGTTTTATAGAAAACGAATTGAATTTTTTAAACATAATTCATTATTATTACATTATTAGATTTTTAACAAAATTCATTATTATTATTATGACCTCACGGCGTCAGGCACTACCAAGGATCAATATTTCCTAGGTGCGAAGCTAAGAGGTCACAGTTAGCCAGCAAAATTTTGTGCATGCTGATTATCATCGGATTTTGTTACCTGCGTTTCAACAACAACAGTTGGCAGAAAAATAACCATATTACTGATACGATATGTTGAATTATTTCCTGTAGTTTTGTGCATGCAGATTATTTATTTGTCATGCTCTTCCTGATTTCTACATTCCGTTTTCAAAATTTTTTGAATTTCTATCCTAAACTGTGATATAGCCCATTTGAAGATTATAGGTAAGGTGTGACACAATCATTCGCGCCAAAGTGTCACGTGCAAGTTTTTGCGCCCTTTTTCTGGACTATTCTGTTGAATTGAAATGAAAACTGCATGAATTATAAAGTCTGTTCTTTTTTGTCGGAATCTTGATAGAGCTTTGGTTAAAAAAAACATATCAGTGATATTGTGGAGTGAATTAGAAGTGACATCATTTAAAGTAATGAAAACGAAACGAAGAAAAACTTTTAAAGCGGATGAACTGGCCAAATATACATCTTATCGCCCTCTCCCCACTCCAGGGGTTTCCTCCTACAAACACAGAATATAGACTTAGGAAAGTGCCCCCTCACATTTCAGGATTGAGGAAGTTTATTACTGTTTTTGCTCATACAATTATTTTTGATGTCGACCCCTTATTCCAGGGAAAAACTTCCTGTATCCGCGCCTATCACCATTCATATATCACCGTCAAGTTTGTTGGCTCAGTTATGCAAAACGGGCTTTATTTATCCCATGTTTCTAACAATCGTTGATGCTCGGGCATACCCAAGAAACTATTTAACATATTCTGCATGTCAGTCATAACCGTTAAGATTCCCAAGTTCTTTCAGCTGTCTTCCTCATAGACTATGTTGTATGCAGTTGAATCCAATTTATGTATTCCTTGTTACATAGTCACGACTTTCCAGCTTAAATCAATCACATTGGTTTATTTCCCTTACTTACTTCATCCTCTAAAACCATTTTTAGACTCGCGGAGTGAGATGTTCATCTTTACGTCGCGGGTCCGTATCCACAGTGGGACATGTACATTCCATTTTTTATTTGAGATACAGACAATATATGTGTTTTATATAAAATTTGTTCTTTTTCTATTGCTCTGATGAATAGCATACAACTTAAAATGAATGCCTGATGTTTTGTGCAACATCTTCATAATTTACTTTAGTGAAATAATTCAAAATACCCCCCTCCCCACAATGTAAACGTTTATAACCTATCGAGTTTATAGGTTCTTTGGATATTGATGACATTACTCAGGCAAGCTTTTTGAATAGCTGTTATTTGTATATAATAGCAAGCAACTGTTTTGTAAGATAAGAACTTTTAAGAATTTTTTTCTATAAATATCTTAATTCACACAATGATTAAAGATGACTGATCGTGTGTATGCATGATGCATTTAAATTCATTAGGAAGAGAAGTCAATATTTGATAAGGTAATGGTACCTCAAAATGAAATATGATAACAGTTATGTTCCAACTCTCGATAAATTGTTTGAAAAATGTACAGTTGTCACAGATAACTGTCATAAATAAATAATTATTCTTATCAAGTTTAAGAAAAATACCGCTCGAAATATAAAGGAGAGCTACATATTTTCCGAAGGTTAATAAAAAAATAAAAACGATAAGGCGTGGGGAAAATGTCTCATGGTTTGTGCATTTAAGTCCGATTAATTTCTTCAAAAAGAGAATGGGCTTTTTGGACGAAAGTCGAAAGCTATCTATTGCAAAGAGATGCTACAGTTTGATGGTTACACATTAATAGATAATCCAGAAACATGATAGGATTTTTACCGAAAAAAATACATAAGTGTATAACATGTATGTACGGAAAAGTCATAATGACTTGATCTCTTGTGTACATATCTCAGTTGATTCGATACGCTAGAGCATGCTGTACGTATGAACAATTACTAAAACGAGGTAAATTATTGACAAACAAGTTGATGAAACAAGACTATCAGCAGTCTCGTTTAAAGTCATCATTTCGTAAGTTCTATCATGGGCGATACCATGACCTTGTCAGCAAATACATGTACAATTTATCATTGAGTCAAATACTGGCTGGCAGTTTTCATACTAATTGTTAGTCCATTATTTATACACTGAATTGACGACGGATTTTTCCGTTATTTCTCGATCGTGACATGGAGCACACGGCGGGTGTGACCGGTCGGCAGTGGATGTTCACTCCTCCATGGCACCTGATCCCACCTCTGATGTTTTAGAGGTCCGTGTTTGCTCTGCTCCTATTTTGAATTGTTTTATGGACTTTGATATTGAATACTGTTCGTTATTTCCATATCCTTCATTGTATAGTAATCATAATGATTGTACAAAGGAATCATAATGATATATTAAATTTGACAATCTTGAAAAGAGTACACACAAGTTGTAAAAGTGAGAATGGTCAAATTAATTTTGTTCTTTTCGTTTTTATTTGCACGAATTAGACTCAACAGGGATTCAAAGTAGTTGAAAATTATATATTATTTATTTTATTTGTCCGTCTGTTACCTTTGCAACCAAGGCATTTAGCAATCATATTTGGTTTGATATTTTTTTTTTTTGTATCAGTTCATAAAATGAAAAGTCTTATCAAAATCAGTGAACTGGCGAGCTAATAATGTTTATCTTTTTTAGCTCTTTAAAATGTATGTCATTATCGTATTCATGAACATGTAATGTAACGATAAATGACTCAATAAAATATCGCTGTAGAAGAAACAGTTCCTTGAAGATTTGAAATGAAACATGTGGTGACGTCACCGATGATGGTGATGATGGTGCACGCGGTCATGTTGAGCGTCGAACTCCTTATGCTTGCAGACGAGAACTGGAACATGCGCATGATGGACACAGTAGTCGCTGACACTTCCCAGAAAGGTTCGTCGGACCTTGCTCATACCTCTAGTTCCCACGATGATTAAGTCGGCTTTTTCTGTTTTTGATACCTCTATGATTGATTCTCCCACTTTCCCGGTCATCTGCTTCATTTTCCCGCCAAGCTGAGAAAATAAACAGGAAATGTATCGATTATTTATGACATATCTCTCTCTCTTTGCTGTTTGACATGCAATTCGTATCGTTTAATACAGATTAATACAATTTCAAAACTCTTATTTTATGAATATTTTTATCATTTTTAAAATACATGTGAATAATTGCGATGGATATAATTTTAAAGTGACTGCATGAAATAAGAAAATCTATTTAAAATTCTTCACAATCATAATCTTAGTTGAAATTACATAAACATCTCTTTACTTCTTTTAGAGCGTTGTTCATGATATAATGTTATCAAATTGAATAGAGCTTACGCCAAATTGCTTCATCTTCTCCGAGTACTTATGAACCAGGTCTCTCGTTCGAATTTCCTCCTCTTTCAACAGCTCGTTAACAACCCCAGGGTCAGTCAAGACGGCAGCTGGAAGATATAAATAACCGCTTATTTCCAGATGAAAATCCGTAAATCATCGATGAAACATGTATCTTAAGAGAAAAAGAACATATTTTGTATCAATTTACTAATTTGGTTGTACGTTTCAGTCATTCTAACCGTACATGAACTTACATTACCTTAATTGAAGGAACCGATTTACCGGTAGCACATGCAGTGCAAAATGGTTTATTACAATGAAGTTTATTTTTCCAATGCTTTTTTCAGGGATTAATTTCAAGCAATTGTAAGGAACAAAATTTCACATGCTACATGATTTTAGTAGTGTATAGCGTTTCTCTATGTTATACTTTATACCCAAGTACAGTGATGGCGGAATAGAGAACACACTATGAATAAATAATCCGCTATTTATTAGTGCCCGCAGTTATATACAATATTGACGAAGCTAACAGAGACACGTCCGTTCTCTGCAGCATGTAACAGAAAAGAGAGCGAGGATAGGCATACGTCACGACAGGTGCCGTGACGTATACCATGTGATCGGAGGTAGCAGGGCAATTCGTGCCCAGTACCTCCAGGACCACCATAGGTGTTTAGTTCATTTCAGATTTTTATGCCCCCGTTATCGTGGATTCAGGAGTATATAGTTTTTCCGCAGAATCTTTAACCTTGTCCATAACTTTTGAGCGGTTGGGGCTATGGCTTTCATATATGTCACAGGTGTATTCCTTGTGACAGACCTTTCTTCGGGCACCACCAAAAAATTTGATCTCTTGACCTTGGAGTTTTACCCACTTTTACAACAACAATAAAAAAACACCATACTTAAACCTTGGTCTTAATTTTTCTACAGTTCGCGCCAGAGGTTATATACTTTTCTCATGTGTATTCATTGTGAAAAGGCATTTCAATAGGTTTAAATATTTTTGACCTTGACCTAGAGTTTATATAAGTTTTAAAACTTTAATAATGGCCACACATGTAACTTTTGAACAGTCAGCAGTAAGCCTTTTATATTCCACAGGTGTATTTGTGACAAGAAATTCAATTGGATACCATGAGTTTTCACTTTTGACCTTGGTTTTAGAGTTTGGCCTGCATTTGAGAAAATTAACCCTCTCCATAAGCTGCCACATGCGGGTGGGGGGGGGGGGGGACATCAGTGTCTCACAAACACGGCTCTTTTTTTAAATATGCACAGTATTTTTTTGAGTAAACCAATGATACCTTGCACAAAGCCACATTAGTTTGATTAAGCAAAATGAAAAACAATAAAACGCTTATAAATCCCTTTTTTTCATGGAAGTATCACAAAGATTATTTCATTTCATTTATAAATTTATGGTAATTAATTATATATCAACATACGTGCCTGGATAACCCCATGGAATTCTGGGACATGGACCAATACAATGTTATCACCTTCCTTTCTCACATGATCCAGATAAACTGAAAGTGAAAATAGAAACAATAGGAATACCTCTCTGAACGCTTCCTGAAAAAAAATTATGTAAATACATGTACTTTTTATAAAGTAATATATACAGATGTAATCTTAATTGTCCATTCTGTATAAACAGATGATACAGATGAACTAGTATAATCATTTAGTTGTTAAATGCCCGAATAAAATCATAGCTCGTTTTGCAACAAGGGTTACTGCATGAAAGAATTTTATATAAAATTCACGAAATTAATGTAAACTAGTGCTAATTGTAACGGGGACCGTTACAGATGTTCCCCAAACGCTCCCCAAATCCCTTTTGGTGCAATATTTCCTGTAAGCTTCATTAAATAAGACAAACTCTATGCATTTGAGACTTTAACAACATTTACCCAGAAGTGTACCAAGTTCATTCAAATTTTAGCATTACACGCATGCGCATGTTAATGCATGTGCATAATGACCATATCATCTTGTCTACACAATCTATATATTAAATATACTAAATATTAAAATATTTAATCCAAAAGTATTAAAAAATATGCTGATTCAAGTGTATTTTTGATTTTACTCATTTCACGTGCATGCACGTGCATACTTGAGCATGATGACCATACCTTCTTGTAGAAGTCTGTTACATCTATCTATGTTCTAAATCCCACTCCGTTTGGCTGAAAACCAAGGGAGTTATAGCTGTTTAAAGTTTCAGCCTATCAGATTGCAGCGCACGTACACGACTGACAAGCCTTCTTGTAGGAATCCATTATATCTATCTATGTTCCAAATCCCATCCTGATTGGTTGAAAACCAAGGGAGTTATAGCTATCTAAAATTTAAGCCATTCAGATTGCAGCGCACGTGTATGCACGTGCTTTTATGAAAATTGTTATACATCATGTTGTAGGATATCCTAATGCATGGCTATGTTCAAAATTTCAAAGGATTTTGTCAAAAAACAAGAAAGATATTGAGACTTTAGTTTCAGCCAATCAGAGCGCAGCGCACGTGCATGCGCGTGAGATTTGCTATTTTGACCATGTCATCATGTATATGCTACTAATATATCCTCACATTATGAGTTTCAAAGCATTTCATGAAAAAATAGAAAAGTTGCGGCTATATCTATTATATTGGTCATTTCTCGTGTTGCACGTGCGCGCTCTTGCAAGCACGTGCGCGCAAAATGACCTTGATTCCGCAAATCTACATAACATGTCTACTGACCCTAAAAAGGTTTTACCTACATCGGACGAACAGTTTACAAGATCATTCCCGGACAAAAAAGTACCCAGGAAGAAGAAGAAAAATAATAATAACTAGTGCTAATTGTAACGGGGACCGTTACAGGTTCCCCAAACGCTCCCCAACTCCCTTTTATAATCATATTCCCTGTAGGCGTAATTAAATAAGACAAACTCTATGCATTTGAGACTTTAACAACGTTTACCAAGAAGTGTACCATGTTCATTCAAATTTTATTATTGCACACTTGCGCATGTGAATGCATGTGCGTAATGACCATATCATATTGTCTACACAATCTATATATTTTAATATGCTAAATATAATCCAAAAGTATATAAAAAAAACGGTCATTCAAGTGTATTTTTGATTTTACCCATTTCACGTGCACGCACGTGCATACATGAGCATGGTGACCATACATTCTTGTAGAAGTCCATTACATCTATCTATGTTCTAAATCCCACCCCGTTTGGTTGAAAACCAAGGGAGTTATACCTGTTTAAAGTTTCAGCCAATCAGATTGCAGCGCATGTACACGCACATGTATGCATGTGCATAGTGACCATACCTTCTTGTAGAAGTCCAGTATATATATCTATGTTCCAAATCCCATCCTGTTTGGTTGAAAACCAAGGGAGTTATGGCTGTTTAAAGTTTCAGCCAATCAGATTGCAGCGCACGTACACGCACGTGTATGCCTGTGCATGGTGACCATACCATCTTGTAGAAGTCGATTATATATATCTATGTTCCAAATCTTATCCTGTTTGGTTGAAAACCAAGGGAGTTATAGCAATTTAAAGTTTCAGCCAATCAGATTGCAGCGCACGTGCATGCACGTGTTTTCATGATAATTGCTATATACCATGTTGTAGGATATCTTTATGCATGGCTATGTTCAAAGTTTCAAAGGATTTCGTCAAAAAACAAGAAAGATATAGAGACTCTAGTTTCAGCCAATCAGAGCAAAGCGCACGTGCATGCGCGTGAGATCTTGCTATTTTGACCATGTCATCTTGTCTACAGTACTAATATATCTTTACACTATGAGTTTCAAAGCATTTCATCAAAAAATAGAAAAGTTGAGGCAATATACATTATATCAGTCATTTCACATGATGCACGTGCGCGCTCTTGCAAGCACGTGCGCACAAAATGACCTTGATTCCGCAAATCTACATAACATGTCTACTGACCCTAAAAAGGTTTTACCTACATCGGATCAACAGTTTACAAGATCACTCCCGGACAAAAAAATTACCCAGGAAGAAGAAGAAGAACAAAAATAATAATAATAAGACACAGAGTAAAAACAATATGTTCCCCAACTTCGTTTGGGGAACATAATAATAATAAGAAACAGAGTAAAAACAATATGTTGCCCAACTTCGTTTGGGGAACATAATAAGGGATACTAAGCGCTACATGGAATCGATGTCTTTGATTTTCCAACAGTTGTCTGCATGTTTCGATGCTATCAAAAGGCACCAAACAGCGGTGTTTTTATTGTATTAACATCGCACATCTTCTCTTAATTACCGTCTCTAAGCGAATTTTTACACAAATTGAGGTCTAAAATTGTGTGTTGTGGTGAATGTCTTTCTTCGGTGTTTGGTGTTTAACCGGAAATGTTTTCCACTAATTCTTCCACTCACGGAAACATCCCCATAAAATCTTTTAATCTTTGGGGTTTTGGGGTTTTTGTTTACACAGGTTTCTTCTGATGGAAACAGAGTTTCCCAAAAAACAGCGAGGATAGTGAATTAACCATTCCTTTCTTCACCACTTGCTCATCAATTTTCCAGAATAATGACTTTTTGGGGACAGATTCCTAAAGAGTGTGGGTTGCTCTAATCATTATTTTGCTCAAAAACAAAACAAAGAATTCAACAAAACAAGATTCTCTGCTTACACTAATTAAGCAAATGACAACCACGTGTCTGAGAAATCTATTTTAAGAATCTGAATGGTTGCTTAGGTTACATTTTAAATGCTATTTGTTGGATCGAGGGATTTTATTAATAAAATACATTCGCTCGAGTGAGGTACCTAAGGGAGAAATTGTGGTTTTTGTGGTCATATAAACATAAACAACAGAGAGCCATTCCTAAGGAAGAAAACAGTGATCATGAAAACATTCATAAAATATCGCTACATTGTAAGATTTGATCATTACATGCATACACGTGGTTTTGATAAGTATACTTATAGAATTCAGTTAAGATATTTATCTGAATGGCATCCTTTAAGTAAAATAATTTAGGTATCGGTAATATTTTCAAAGATAATACGTATGTAATAAAAAAAAAGTCTGCGAGGCAATTTTCATTTGTTATACATGTTCCCCCGCTCTGATGTGAATATACGCATCATATGTTAATATACATATGAAGTTTAGTGCCGGGCAGATGCACTGATAAATAGGATTCATATAAAAATAACTCCCATCATAAAGCAGGCCTCAACAAAGTATGTGCTAAAATTTCAAGCATCTGTAATGAGTAAATACTGAGAAAATCGCAACAAAAATCATTGTTATGTATGGTACAGACAGACGCTCGGATAAACAGGAACTTTAAACCAAAAGTGAATAAAAATGAATCCTACTATATGGCATGCCTTAACAAGGGGTGTACTAATATAAAATGTCAAGCATCTGCAGTGAGTAGTAGTTGCCGAGAAAACTTCATCAAAAATTTTATGTACATGTATGAAACAAGACAGACGCAAAGATGGACAGGAAGCTGACATGGAATTTGATCAAAACTGTATCCCACCATATGGCATGCCTCAGAGAATATTGTGTTAAAATTTCAAGCATCTGCGATGTGTAGTTACTGAGAAGAAAACTTCGAGGAAAATTTGTAAGGTATGAAACGGACAGACACACGGATAAACAGGAAGTTGAAATCGGATTTAAACATAAATGAATCCCACCATATGGCATGCTTCAGAGCAGATTAAGTATGAGTAATTACTTAGAAAACTGTGACCAAACATTTGTTACGGACAGACACAAGGACGGACGGACACACTAGGGTAAAACAGAATATCCCCTCTCTTTCGGAGCAGGGGTATTACAAGTCAGATTTTGGAATCGATCGCGATATTATAATTTAAAGAAGCTAATCCCTGTTTCTATAGGCCCGTTTGACAGAGAACCAGAAGATAATACATCGCTTCTCATGTCCCTCTCGCTCTAGTCAACATTTCCTATGGCGATGATCGAGTGTTTCAAGTCTGAAAACGAGATATTGCTTTATATATTCTCCATCTTTTTATGTCATTTTCTGGAATAATCGAAAGGTCCCATCGATGTTTGCCTCCATTTTGATCTCCTAAATACGCAGACTATACACTTGTTTTATGGTGTTTCAATATTTAAGGTGTGCAATAACCTTGAAAATTCTTAAAATTATTTGTTGGTTAAAGGCAGAGAATGTGTAATTAGCTAATCCTGGTGGCTTAGATCTTTTAGAAACAGATGCCTCTAAAGAGTTTCACCTAATTATAGGTACAAATTTTTTAAACTAAACTATTTTATCAATTAGATCAACAGATGCTGGCAAGCAAAAGTTTTGTGTAGACTAATTCCAACAATCTGGTGATCTTAATTAAAACAATTAAAAATACCTTTCCTTGTTTAAATTTGATTGATTCAGATCTATATCTTTGGTTTTTTTTCTTTTTAAATTTAGTGACATCAGATTCATAGCTTACAACTAAAATATTATTTTGGTATTCCTTCCTGGTAATAAGAAAAGATTGTATTGTTGTTTTGTTGACTATAAAAAAGCTTTTGATTATGTTAATAAATCTAGTCTGTGGATGAAGCTTAAATTATATGTTTTTAATTCAATTCCGCATTTTGTATATTTTCGGTACCGAAATTTTCTAAATTATATGGTATAGATGGAAAAATGATGTGTATAATTAAATCACTTTATCAGAATGTGAAAGCATGTATAAAACATAATGGAGCACTGTCAGAGTATTTTAAAGATTTCAACCGGTGTATTACAAGGTGAAATTTTGTCACCATTATTGTTTTCAATGTATGTCAATGATTTTGAAAACCATTTTATATCTACCAATTGTCCATCAATAGAACTACAAATGATTAATTATTTTTTACTTATGTATGCTGATGACACAGTATTAATGTCAGGAACACCAGAAGGTTTACAAAATATGTTTAATTCATTGTATTCTTATACAGTAGAGTGGAGTTTAACTGTAAATGTTGAAAAAACAAAAATATTAGTGTTTAGAAACAGTGGACATATTAGAGCTAATGAACACTGGGAATATGATGGGAATACTGTAGAAGTAGTTAATGAGTTTAATTATCTTGGTACGTTGTTTGATTTTAATGGTAAATTTGCAAAAACACAACAACATTTTGCATCACAGGGAAGAAAAGCCATGTATTGTGTTTTAAATAGAATGAAAGATTTGAATTTTAATGTTAAAACACAATTAGATATGTTTGAGACTTATATTAGCCCTGTACTGTGTTATGCATCTGAAATTTGGGGATGGCACAAAGCTAAAGATATAGAAAAAGTACATCTTTCATTTTGTAAAAGAATACTTAAGGTTAGACAGAATACATATAACAGTATGGTATATTGTGAATTAGGTAAATTTCCTCTTGAATTGGTCAGAAAAAAGAAAATCTTTAAATACTGGTTAAAATTACGAAATAGTGACAATTGCATTCTTCAAGCATGTCTACAAGAAAGGTTAGAAAATAATGATGACTGGATTGTAAATATTAAAAATGAATTTCATAGGCTTGGTTTAGCAGAACTATTCGATAGCAATTGTATAAACAGTAACACAATTGATATTTTACAGCAGAGAATGTGTGACGAATTTATCCAAAACATTATGTCAGATTTAGGTAAATCACCAAAATGTCTCATTTATCAACACCTTGTAGATAATTTTACCCTTCAGTCTTATTTATGTAAACCAATACATATAAAATATAGAGTAACAATTACCAGATTAAGACTATCTGCGCATAACTTAATGATTGAACAAGGAAGATGTAATAAAACTTTGAGAAACAATAGAACACGTAGTCTTTGTCAATTGGGTAACATAGAAGATGAATTCCATTTTGTGTTAAAATGTCCACATTACAATACGTTAAGACAAAAATACATTAAAACCTACTACTCCCGAAGACTAAGCGTCTTCAAATTGGTACAGTTACTTAGTACACAGAATAGAAAAGAATTATGCAATTTAGGAAAATTTTTGCAATTAGCAAATGCATCAAGAACAGCATCTTTATCAAATTTATAGATTTTCAAAAATATTATATGCTTTGTACATGTACGTTGTATGTTTATTTCATTATTTCATGTGTTAAGATGTAAGTTTATTTCATTATTACATGTGTTAAAACTTGTGATTGTAAATATTGTCCATGAGATTTATGTCTCTCGACTTCAATAAACTGAACTGAACTGGTATTTCTATACTAGAGTACAGGTGTATGTTACTTGTCAATTTAGAGTACAATTAACTTGATGAACAGATTCGTTAGCATTATATGAAATAATATTGATTTAAGAGTAATTAGATAACTATACCCTTATCTTTATATATCAAATATACCATTAAGCAGAGTAATAAATACATTGATAAATATTTCAAATAACTAGCCTACAGGTACATATACATGTATATGCATGATTTTTCTAACATATCATGCAGAGGCCATAAAATTCACAATTTTTTTTTTTTAAGAGACACCCTTGCTTATCATAACTATACATTATACAGCATTAACCTACGTAGTTTAATACCCAGGAGCAGAGAAGAAGATTTTCAAAAAGTAACTTAAATGCATTTTCACTATAAACATTACTCTATACAGCCCCGCCCTTGCACTAGAGCCCCTGAGCCTTGAGTCATGAATTACATAACTTTGTAAGATGGTTTAAAACTTATTACAATTATGCCAACAGTTTGAATGCTTGGTGTCCAGGAGTAAAGAAAAATTTTAGTTGTTTTGCCCCCACCCCTAAGGCCCCAGCAGGGCATGGACCAAATGAAATTCAAAAATTTTGTTACCTCACTCATTGATGCTATATGCCAAAATTGGTTGAAATTCATTCAGCGGTTTCAGAAAAGAAGTTGAAAATGTTCAAAAGTGAACGCACGGCAGACGACGACGAACGAAAACAGGTAGCAATAGGTCACCTAAAACTATAGATATAATGTAATAATGATTTTAAAATCGATTTATGTAAAGAAGCTAATCCCCGTTTCTATCGGCCAGTTTGACAGAGAAGCAGGATATAATACATTGCTTCTCATGTCCCTCTCGCTCCAGTCATCATTTTCTATGGCTATGATTGAGTGTGTCGAGTCTCAAGACGAGATACTGCTTTAAGAAATATATAAATTCTCCATCTTTTTATGTCAGTTACTGGAATAATCGAAAGATCCAATCGAGGTTTGCCCCCATATTGATATCCTAATAATGTAGACTAGACACTTATTTCATTCCTTGTGTTTCAATATTTTAAGGCGTGCAATATCCTTGAAAATTCTAAAATTATATGTTAGTTGAAATTAGAGAAAATGTAATTAGCTATAAACCTGTTTGCTTTGATTTTTAGGAGCAGATGCCTCCAAAGAGTATCTCCTAATTATAGCTACAACTTTTTAAACTAAACTATTTTATCAATTCGATCAACAGATGTTGGAAAGCAAAAGTTTTGTGTAGACTAATTCCAACAATCTGGTAATCTTAATTAAGACAATCAAAAAATACCTTTCCTTCTTTAAATTTTATGGAATCAGATCTATATCTATGAGTTTTTTATATTTCTTTTTAAATTTAGTGACATCAGCATAATCAGATCCATATTTCAAGTAAAATATCATTTTGGTATTCATTCCTGGTTTTTTATATTGGAGTACAGGTTAGAGTACAATTAACTTGGTGAACAGAATCGTTAGCCATGTTAGCATTATATGAAATAATATTGATTTAAGAGTAATTAGATAACTATACCTTTATCATGATATATCAAATATACCATTAAGCAGAGTGATAAATATATTGATAAAAACCGGGATATTTCAAATAACTACATGTAGTCTACAGGTACATGTATATGGATGATTTCTCTAACATAAACTCTGAGTTCTTCAGCATTATATCTGAATTCCCTGTATCGAATTTAAAGTATATAACAGCTAATTCAGTAATAAGGGTTAAATATTCCTGGACAATGTGCTTTGATTACTGTAAAGTCACTTAATGCCAAAGTGTTGATAACTCGAACACACTTGCACTAGGGAATTTTGTCTCATTTGATGATATCCCTAAGGTAATATCTCAATTTGTAATTGTTAAATGTCAACAGACACCTGATCATATAATTTATCGTGTAAACAGCCCATGGTTTGTATTAATGTATAATCAAAGGAAATAATTCTTCATTAAGGACTGATAAACATTACTAATAATGATTGATACTGCAAAAATAGATATTATACTCACAATTAAATGCGTATTCAGAAAAACAGCTGTCGTCTACTCCAATAATAACTGTTCTATAGGATTTCACAGAACACGGGGAATTGGCCATGTTATTATATTATTTTTCTTCTAGTTCCGATTTTTCTTGAGAGCTTTTCTTATCACTGGCAATAATATCTCACTACCTTCCCCTCTGGTTCAAAGCGCACTGGTAACCCCAAGCCAAGAGCAACCCTGTATATATTCGCTACTCACTCTTTAATTGTTTATATTGCTGATTTCTCCTCGGAATAACACTTCCGATCCTGACTTCAAGGTGACATTTGCCCCTCGGAATTCATCGGAAATCGAATCGGAGATTTAATGGTATTTACACTTTATTCAGTGGCTCAAGACTCGCTCAAGGAGTTTTCTCATTTTGGTTTGATTCACTTCATATAATTTTGAATTCGATTTCAATCATTTCTCACTTGTAACAAGCCCTTTGCTGTAAGGAGAAATTCATTTATGCAGCCTCGCGCTTAAATGAATCGATGCCTAGTGTGAGTTTTGGCAAGATGTATGGAGATAGTAATTCCTCTCTACTTGTGGTCTTTATATTTTAAGTAATTTCTCGCTTCTTGTAATCGTTATATCTTAATGGGGAGTGCGAGAAAGCTTTAACAAAAGATTTATCATTATGAGAAAAATTCCTTTATTTCTTTCAATTATTTTAATGCAATTTATCTTTTAGTGAATGCTTTTTAAAGTCTTTGAGCATTCAATTTGCTTTGATTTTTATAAAAAAATAATTGTTGAGTATGTCTAGCTATCTGTCTTGCTAATAACTTTTGAGTGTGTGGGTCTATGGCTTTCATATTTCACAGGTATATTCCTTGGGACAAGACCTTTTTTGGGGGTACCACAAAATTTGATCTCTTAACCTTTTCCTTGGAGTTTGATCTACTTTTACAAAAAAGTTACCAAACTTTAACCTTGGCCAAATCTTTTGACAGGGTTTTCATATTTTTCAGGTGTTTTCCTTGTGACAAGACCTTCTTTTGAATTCTTACAATTTTAACCTTTTGACCTTGACCTTAGAGTCTGACCCACATTTTTAAAAGCTTTAACCTTGGCCATTTCAGAAAGTATTCCTTGTGGAAGGACCTTCCTTTAGATACCAACAATTTTGACCTTGACCGTGGAGGTTGACTTGCATTTGAGAAACTTCACTCCTAGCTACATGTATAAGCTGCCATACGGGGGCATCAGTGTTTCACAAACACATCTTGTTTTTTATGCCTACGGTAAACGAAGATTCGGGGTTTTTTGTCCTGTTCGTCTGTCTGTTTGTCCGCAAAAAAATTTAACCTTGCACGTAATATTTGAGTTGGCAGGGCTCTGGCTTTCATAGTTCACAGGTGTATTCCTTGTGACAAGACCTTTCTTTGTGTACCACCAAAGAAGGAGGGCGCTTTTGATTGGCATTCGGCAGGAATCTGGGCGTAATTGAAAAGTGAAAATTTGATCTACATGTCACATGAAATTTTATAATTTTTTTTATTTATCGGGTTCCTGTGCAACAGAAAAGGAAAATATTTTCCCAAAACTGAGCTTTGATTTATTAAAAAATAACTTGAAAATTGGCCAGATCAGACATTTGGTACGAAATGGTACATTTTTAAACACGTTTTTCTAAAAAAAAAAAATTATCTCTGGGTCTTCTCTCCATGATTTTGAAACGTTATTTGTGTGTATTTTAATTCAAAGAAACGAATACACATTTTTAAAAAATGGAGAGAAGACCCAGAGACCACAAAAAATGTACTTTTTCCCAAAAATTCCAAATGTGTGAATGTGGTGCTTCTTTGTCCTTTTTAAATCATCTGAATACGTGTTGTGGTGATAGCTGAGTAAGTAGGGCTGCCTGTTCAGTGCGCTCGAAGCGAAAAGTTTTTGGTTCGAGCCTGGCATGGGGTGTTAAATTTTTTTTTATGCAAACAACCATTAATTTTGTCAGTTTCGTTTTATGTCCCGATGTATTAAAATTTTGAATTAGATAAATTTTGGTTCAATTTCAACTTTGGTTCTCGAGCGAAATCAATTCCAATCTTCTATTCTATAATGTACATGTACACGTATCATGCATCTATGCATTAAATATTTTAGCTGTTTATTTTTTGTGAAACATTACTATGTTAAAATACCCCCCCCTCCTAGGAAAAAACGGGCATAGATGTTACAATATCACATGGTCTTTCAAACTAAATGAAACAAAAACCTATGGACGTGTTTGTAAAATCTGACCAGCTATGTTCAGCCAACCAAATCATGGACATTTAAACCATAAATGTTTCGTACAAATGATTCCTGCAGATCACACGCCAAATGCGCCCATCTTCTTTGACCTCTTGACCTTGACTTTGGAGTTTGACCTACATTTACAAAAAATACCACACTATAACCTTGGTCATAACTTTTGAACAGTTGAAACTAGGGCTTTCATACTTCACATGTGTATTCAATGTGACCAGTCCTTTCAATGGGTATAAATATTTTGACCTTAATCTTAGAGTTATAACTACTTTTTAAAATCTTAACCTTGGCCATAACTTTTGAATAGTTAGAACTAGGGCTTTCGTATTTCACCTAACAGGAGTATTCCTTGTAACAAGACCTTCCTATCAACATTTTTTACCTTTTGACCTTAAATTTTGGAGTTTGGCGTGCATTTGAGAAAAGTCAAAATACTCCATCAGTTTTTCATGCCCAGAACAATGCTCAGGTAAGCTAACCCTTACTCTGTAATCTATGAAAATTTAAACTTTAAATCCTGAATAACTTTTTTCCAAAAACACTCATGGACAATCATCCTTCTTTATATCAAACATATCCCATGCACGAAAGGAAGTGGTATCATCAAAAAGATTATAAACGTTATACATGTATAATCTAAAATTATGTTGTATTCTTTCAGCGGCCGTAGAATTTTGGGGGAAAAAATGTGCTTAAGGTTGCGCATTTGAATCGATCATCCAGTGTCTAATGAACAAGGTTCAGAGGGCCACCCTGCCAAAATTATTGTTTGTGTTCACGGGGTAATTAAACAATCATTTTCCTGTCTTTCTCTTTTGTCACCTTTCCTTGAACTTACTGTGTTCCGTTGAAATTTTTGATTGGACTAATTTAGGAAGATAACAAGTCCAAACTTGGATTCTTCGCCTGCATATAATACGACTGAAGTAGTGATAATGATCAGAGATATTGATGTTGTCCAGCTCTTTAAGTCACCACTTGTGCCCCTTCCTCTCCTTGTTACTATAGTCCTGCTAGACACGACATTATTGTTGATAGTTGAAAATGACGACCTTAAAACAGATATTTTCAAAAGGTCGTACCTGTAAGTACAGGGAGACCCTATATTACAATTGGCGTCAAAATTTCAAATAAATGAATATTAAAAACTAACAAAAGAGAAGTCGGTCTTCCCTACTAATATTAAATTCTAAACCATATAGAAATTCTTATAAAGATAAATTTCCGGGTCCAGCAATTACTCTACCTAGACCCCTCCCCCCAAAAATAAAATAAACAGAAAATTCAGAGCTACTTCATGTACTATGCAACAACATATTCTAGAAGTACTGTGAATTTTTCATTCAGTGGTATAAGAGGAGTTGATAAGAGCTGGGTACCCCAAAGTGTAACAGGCAGAGACATACGGACGGGCTTTTCGATCACTATATACCCTCCCACTTTTCAAGCGGGCGGTGAACTAATAGGAAAATCATATTGAAATCGCTGAAACTGCATGACCTCACAAAAGGGTTGTCTCGCTTTATGTGTTGAAATTCATCTATAAAATTAATATCAAGGTAACAAAAATGCCTGACAATGCCGAAAGTATAGTTAAAGATTCTATTATTTACTCTCTCTGTATTTGCTTCTTTAGTCTTTATTTATAAGAGTGAGATGAATAAATGTAACCAATAAAACAGCATCCCTTTTAGCAAACAGTTTTTTGGTGTAAAATTTTATAAATCGTTTGGAAATGTTAGTTTTGGTACCCGTGCGTCGGAATATAGACTACTTAGTACTTAAACAGAACGTATGTAAACTGTGCAAATACGTATATATAAAAGCATTTGGCGTACGAGAATAATTTTCACTGGTTCTCCAAAGTTACAATGTATGTTGTTTGTAAAAAGTGTAAATGTCTGAAAAGTAAATTCTCAGATCTTGAGAGAAAAGTGGAAATGCAATTTAGTAATATTGATACATACACCTTGAGGTCATGTTATCAAAAGTGTTGGTACCCAAAGAAATGTTTTATCAAGCTACATATGTGGAATACATTGTACACACTGTACAGTAAGCCCAAGCACCAAATGTTCAAAAGCTAGAGGCAGGGTTAAAGTTTGTTAAAATTTTGTATAAGTGACTAAAACTTTAAGATCAATATTAAAAGAGCAAATATTCAACCCCAAAGAAGAGTCTTTCATAAGAAAGACACATGTAAAATAGGAAAACCCTAACTCCAACCAATCAAATGTTATGGGTAAAGATAATCAAAGCAAGGACAGAGCAATGCATGTACCTAGTATATATCTCACGATTCTTCGATTTGACTGGGCATTGAAACAAACCAAGTTTCAAATCTAACACAGTGCATCAATAGAAAAAGCATCAGTTACGTAATTATGCATCCATCTTGATTCAAATAATGATAGCAATTCGTATGACCATGCACATAAAAGTTAATTAAACACATTAATTATGCATACTTGTATCTGCTGGCTAGTGTATTACACTGAAACACACAAAGTTTCTGCTTTTACACGACCTTGAGAACAATCATCGCATACTACTGTGAAGCCACCATCAGTGATGTAGAAAATAATGGATAACCTGCAGAGTATCAAAAATGAACTGCTTTGAGTGATGATATGGGTATTTTTTCATGTCACCCGAGAGACACAATGCTTCTCTATTTAGATTTGGGAATTAAGGAGTGGATCCTTACGTCTCGGGTTCGAGTCTAAATGTTGGGCCTGGAAACCGGTCCCTCGAATGAAACCTGTTTAAACGGAAGTCCCGTTTTGCAGTAAGTTCTGGCAAAGATTCCTATCTGCTCAATGACCCTATATGTGCTTAGTCCGGGTCTAAGATTTGCAGCCTTCTAATGACAATGGTGACGTATAAGAGAAAAATTTTTGAAAGGACGTAAAACAGCAAAAACACCACCTCATCCCTGAAATTATATGTTACTTGTAACGTGAGAGACAATGAACTTTGAAGTCATAATTTTATACCTAGGTCAAGCCGAGTCTGGAAATTTACATACTTTTAAAACCTTGGCCAGTTTTTTTTTTACAGTTGGTGCGAAGTCTCTTATACTTAATTCTTGTATTTACTGTAACAAGAACTTCCATTAAGTACCAATAATTTTTTTTTATCTTTTGACCTTGGACCATGACCGACTTTTTAAAACTTTTACCTTGACCTTAACATTTTAAACAGTTAGTGCTTGAGCTTACATTTTCAACCGTCTACTGCTGATGAAAAATCTGCATTGGGTTCTTACGATGTTGACCTTAGAATTTGACCCACATTTGAAAATCTTGATTTTGACCACAGCTTTTAAAAGTGGTGCTAGGGCCTTGTCATTTGACCTTGTATTTTGACCTTCTTTAAAAACAAATTGTAACCTGGTCGGTTGTTGATGATCCTAAATTTCTTTTTTCACATGGCTGCATGTTTATTTTGAGACAAGACCTTTCTTTTTGTACATGCACCAACATTTTTAATTTCTTGACACTGACTTTGGAGTTTGACTTGCATTTGAGAAACTTGCGAGCTTTCATACGGGGGCATCAGTGTTTCATAAACACATTAAGGTCTTCCGTCTTCAGCGGAAGACCTTCTTGTTACTCTTAGGTTTCTTTTCACTTTTTTTCTTTTTTTTCTTACCAATTTTGTGCACGGGATTTCTCAAAAAGGGCTCGATGGATTTCCATGAAACTTTCAGGACTTATGAGACATCACTTGAACCTTATTCATTTTTTCCCATTTTGATGACGTCACTTCTGGTCCGGAGATATTGTCGGTTTCATGATTTTTAGAGGGTCGGGTTGTCCCCCGTTTTTCTCATAAAATAGCTCTAGATAGAAACATGAAACTTTCAGGTATGATAGACAGATATGATAGATAGAAACGCCGCACGTCGGCGGTCGCTATGGTCCGAAAAAAGATCTATCGTGAATCTTAAAAATTCTAATACTTTTTCAACAATATCTTTTTGCTCATAGATATTTTGTTAAAATATATAAAACAAAAGAGGTGTAGAATTCCAAGATTTTTTAAATGATAACTCGAAAAAAGGGTTGGCCCCTAAAATAACGAAACTAGTGGGGTCAGAAGTTTTTTTCCTGATATCTTTAAAAGTATTGAGAATTTGTAATAAATCAAAGAAGCAAAGTTGTTCAAAATGTCAAGGAGAATCTAGTGAGATCCTTAGAATATGTCCGAAGAGGTCATTTCGGGCCAAATCGGAAGTAGTCAGAAAATGCATATTTTGCCATTCTTGACATGTTTTGGGTAAAAATCTGTCACTGGAAGCATAAAACCGAAATTCCGGCGCCGAGAATGCCAAGCCTTAATAAAAGTCCAAGGTTAACTGAGAATTGTACTATATACAAATTAAGACATGTTCACAAGAAGGCAAGAACAACCTACATGTAACTTAGAACAAAACAACTTGTAGATTTCTGTAAAAATAATATTGTACTCTATGAATTTACTCGGTAATTAAGCAAATCATTTGCAATATACATGTAGGCGCCTCTCTTCTCATAACATGTCCGGTCTGAAGGACCAAACACGATCCGTCTCCTACATAAAGTAACGTAAAAAACATGTTTGGTTGATATGCTTTGCGTCTTGTGCTGTTATGAGAATATGCTCGTCACTAACCATAATGATATCATGAATTAATCATCCCTAAGAAAACATGGAGTCCATTTGTGATGAATCAGCAGTTTTTCGTCGCCGACACGGAAAGAATCCGGAAAGCATTAGTTCAGAAGACTAAATACAAACATCTAATTGTGTCCTTTCATGTTCAAAACTTATAATCGAAAAAAATCTACCGATTCGGAGAGGTTAGAAGTTGGTAAAGAAACTCCTCGTATACTCAGTAATAGTACGTGTATATTAAAGAATAACTTCTGTTTATTAAAAATGGAAAATAATCGATCAAAAACTGACCTCCATAAAACAATAAATCATCTATTTACGATCGACCAGTGTTTGTGTCTTGTAATTCCCGGAGAAGAAAATTACCCTTCTTCTAATAAGTAAGGAGCATGGACCAAAGATCGACTTTTCTTATATGATTGGAAAATTTGCCTCCTAGAGTAGATCTGATATAATGGATCGAAAAGTAATAACGAACCAACTGTAGCCAGAAACAGAGGATATAGACAGAGAAAATGGAGTAGACATGATTGTCTTTACCGAATTTCTCAAGCCTCCAATTACGAGGTCGCTCTGTAAGCATGAATGGTAACCATACTTTACACACTTGTGTACTCCTCAAGATTTATGTGCTTTCTGACTACGTAAGAAATTGCATTATACTTATACTGATTCATGCTTTTGTTTCCAGATGTCATTTTTATTATTGGTCCTGTAGAACTACTTTAAGTATTATTTGACTTAAAAGATTTTGGTCAAGAGCAGTTCAACGTGGTCAATCACCCTCAGAATTTTTTTTTTAAGTTTAACAAAGGCATCGCGGGGAGGATATGTTGTCTCTGTTGCCAGAGTATTGTGAAAAAAATTAATAATTAATTTCTAACTGTAATTGCATGCGTAAATTAAAAAGTGTTTAAAAATTCATATTTATTTATTTTATCGGTTAGTAAGATTTAAAAAAAAAATGTACATGTGATATGCTGTAATATATATGCTCCATCTTAAATTCATGAAACAATTCTTACTTATTTACTCTACACTTAAAAGATGGGTTCTATCGTGCACTTAAGTGCTCAACTTGTATTTAAGAATTCAATGTTTTCATCTTAAAGACTCTTGAGAAGATCTCCAAGATTATCTTGAAAAGAGTTTTATCATTATCATGCAAATTTCAATCTTGTAAACATGCAATTCTTCAGGATTAAATGTACATTAAAGACATACAACTGTTTGAATTTGGAAGGTACAGTGTACGTCTTTCATTTATTTTTTTTTTTTTAAATCATGTATATTTCAAACGAATTATTGAAATCTTTTATCGTGTGTTTGTAAACCCATTTAAAATCCATTTTGAACGTTTGATTTTATCCTATATCGTGTTTACATTTACCTTCCGAATGCTGTTTTATTGATAAAAGATGATTTTAAACCATTGTGTTGCAAAGATTTAATTTTTTATCATACACCCTAGAGAATCCCTGTGCGGATCTTTGTGCTTAGTCTCTGTATTCGAAATTGTTTGGTAAAAGTCTTTTAAAGTGCAATATTTGGTACAAATTATATATTTGAAGCACCCCCTTGGAAGGTAGCTAAAAATGGTGTCTCATCACCAATGATTGCAGACGTAATGAATTATTGATATCATACATACACTTCAGATCAAATGGAAAATAAGCACTTTGCGTGATGTGATTTTTAGTCATCGTATTGACCTGAAAACAGACACCATTGGTTAGTTTCCACTTGAGAGTTCCGAGTGTTAATTCTATCTTAATTCATTACAAGCAATTATTTTTGCCAGGAAATGTTCTCTTGAATTATTCCGGAAATTTTCTTTGGAGAAAGTGTTTTTTCCTTGGAGAATCCGACTTGTGCTCTGTGTATTGACCATTGCTTGCACGCAGATGGTGACAACTGGAATCCCAACGGACCCGCATTTTCTCGCTCCACAAAATTAGACAATGAAATTAAGACATGGATTTCAAATTGAATTGAATGTGTTCGGCAAATGAGGGTTATAATTGAATATTTACTCGACTGAAAGGAAATAACTACTCCAGAATCTCTAAGCTTTTTTTGCGTTTTCGATTGATGCTATTTATTAAACGGACAGAAAAATATCCTTTCATCATTTGGTTTGTACAAGTGCAGCAGAACGATGGATTGGTTTATTTTTGTGGTGGTTGTTTTTGTGCCTTGTGTATTTTGTGCTGTACCCGTAACGAACGATAATTGTACTTATCTGTTTGACATGGAAAGAAATTCTATCAAAGTAACGTGTTCTAAAAATGTGACCGTGACCATTCGGGGGAAAGGAAATACAAAACTACTGACCGGAAATGATGAAGCCATGAAATATTGGTTTGAAGCCAACCTAAATGCTCATAACAATAAAACAACTCGTTCTGGGGATTTTAATACTAAAGCCATGCACAAATTAAAAAGTGCAAATAGGATTTTACGGAAATCGAAAAAGATTCTTGGAAAGAGGTTGGTTGCCCTTAATGTTACATCAGGGGATTTAGAGGACGGGGACGTCAAACTTAAAAACGATGTTGAGATTTTACAAAGATATCCACCAGGTTCCATATTTGCTCATCAATCTATTGTTGCAGCCATTAAAAATCAGTACAAATATCTCCAAATGGCCATGCTTACCCAAAACAACGAAATGAAACAACTTGTTAAGTCAATGACGTCATTAGTTTCGGCTACCCAGAAGTCCATTCGAAGTGTCATGGCTATGGGTGATGAGTTGCAAGAACAACTGGTTCTGCTTAATACAGCTCTTGTCCGATGTAATATGACGATCGTCAACAAGCAAAAAGGTTCGTGATCGATGAATATTATGACATAATGGTAATCAATTACAGAAAAAAATCTAAATAATAAAACAGAAAGACTATTTTGCCAACTTTTATTGATTTTGTAAAAAATTATAGTATTCAAATAATATCCTCGCCTTAAGAATTCAAATGTAAACAAATTTGATATACATTTGTACCATAAAGAACAATATTCAAGATAACACTTTTGATGGAATGATATTATACATGTAAGAAATGGAACATTTTGTATCTTCGAAGAGATAAAAACATGTACAGATAAGACCATGGTTAATTAGATTTTTTGGTTGCTTTCATCAAAAGAGTCCACTTGTAATGGATGCTGTTTGTAGACCCTCTACTTCATCCCTAGCTATCCATCTTTGTCAAAACATTTATTGAATTTTCTTTGTTTGATACAAACTGATGGATGATAAAAGTTTTATAAGTGAAAACAAATAACTATAGTATTTAATTATCTACAGATGTAAATTGACCGACTTTAGATAAATGCATTTCCCCTTTTAGCTATTGTTAATACACGAATTTGGTCAGCTTTCACGAGTTTTATTCACAATAACCTATATCGAATATATCTATGCGTTTGTAGATAATGGAGATGCAAAAGATATATTGTTTAAGAGAGCCGACTGGGATTTTGTTGCGTGAAAACTACAATAGAGAAACTATTTAATTTTACATAATGTACCTTACATTAACTTCATTGCACATGCCAAGTTTGGGGGAAATCTACCGTCAAGGTATATTTAAGAGACCGTCTCAAAAAACAGAAACATTACTTTGGGATTATATTATTAGGAAAGTGCCAATTTATCGCTTTTTAAAGCAAATTATACAAATACTACAATAGACTTTTTGCTCAAGTTGTAATATATGATTAGTAATACAATATTGTACATTATTGTAAGAAACACAAAATTCTACCGTTGTTTCCAGAGCGGGCATCTCAAAATGCCAAAAATTGACGAATTATATTGTTTTTATGGAGCACTACAAAATATCATGACAAATGCAAAGGATCTATACAAAAAAATGATAAAAATCATCGAGAGTTTATCAAATTTGTATGTTTAAAATTTCAAGAGCATATATTTTAAAATACTTTCATTCTTTCATGACATATTTGTTACCCCTTCTTTAAGGGCCACATTTTATCATAACGTCAAAAACACACTATTCCGACGTCAATCTAACTTTCAGTTGAAAAACCGTTTTAAAAATCAGTTATATGAAATTGCAGTTAAATTTTTTAACCTGTGATTTCTTAATTTTGTAAAATTTATTAATTTAATGGAAAAGGTTGCTATAAAAGAGTAAATACGCTTTTATTATTTTACTTTGATGAGAAAAATATTAATATTACGCAAAGGATACCCAAGTCGGCTCCCTTAATTCAAGAGAGAAGAAAATATATTTGATTTTTTTTCTTTTAAATTTTTAAAAAATCATTCATAAACACCTTTAACTTACCCTTTATATATTTATGTCTGGCAATCTTAAATATAATGTTTATTTACTCTCTCCCTGGATAGAGTAAAATCATTGATTGGGTAGGTAGGTGAGAAAAAATTTTTCCTGATGGGATAAGAGAAATTTTAAGAAAAAATATCGTGTCCTAGGATGTAAAAAAAGTTTTGAGTCGGACCATTTTTAGTCAGTTGGTCGGTTGAGGGCAATCAAACGATTTTTTAAAGATGGTCTCACGTATAATTAAATTTATCGTTTACTATCATTGTGCACATGTATATGTATTAAGGTAGGATTCTTCTCATATTTCTAATATTTAAAAATTAATGAAATTTTCACAGAATCAAGAAGACAATATCAGTAATTGATAGTATCAGTGAAATTAAATTAGACCGTTTTATATAAGCGGCAAGGTCAGGTCAAGGTCATTATCTTTTTCCTTGACATTAAGAATAAAAAATAACTTGTGCCAATCATGTGATACCTACTTCTATTTCAAAAGTTTAATGATTGTTCATTTTGCATAAAAACATATTACTGTATCGGGTCTATAGCATGATATTACCAAATTTACATTATTAATTTCACTTATCTGGATATTGGCTAATCCGAATTTTCTCTGCTTTTCTTAATTTTTTAGGATATAATAGTTATTTTCATATGCTTCCTATATTTAACTTTTTCTTATTTTCACATATAATAAAGTAGTCTTATAAATGTACAAAATGATGCAAAAACAAAAAGTTTTGATCGTTTACTAAGAGAGAAAAAATACTTTTTATGGATTTTTGACTCAAATCTGCACTTTGATAGGAAGCGTTTAAAAGCTAATAAAGTTCTAGTTTGTTTGAAAAATCATATTTATTTGATATATTGTGAAAGTTTAGTCCCTCACTATTAATCTTACTTACATTTGAAAATTTCTCCAAGTCTTCGATTGTGTAAAAATTATAACTAAATTCAGTTTTATTATAATTTTGAGAGGCCGAAAAGAAGATATTTTCATACGCCACCATTCCGCCAAAAATATAGTCCCTGCTAGTTTTCAAACGCAGTTTACCATTTCTATTTAAAGTTGTACAATTGTGATGAGGAAAGAAAAATATGGTCTTTTAAATTCCTTACACCTCAATATATAAGACATATAAGCAAATATACTTTGAATGTTTCATATAGTCAGAAACCAGAGAAGAATCCTACCTTAATGTAGCTGTCTAGTAGATAGAATTTTGTTTTATTTACTTTTTTAATTAACAGACTACTGCCCTCGGATTTTGACGTCTATTTACCCATCAAAAGACAGAGTGGTCAAAGTGGGTATCGCAGTGGGTACTATCATGAAAGATCCGATTCCATCCGGTCTGTACTGGGTGACGTATGATTTCAGTGACATCAATGAGGTAGTCTCTTACAAAACTTTAGAGGACTTTGAGTTGGATATTTCCCAAGAAAAACTCAAACTTCCGTTTTTCTGTGAGGGTACAGGGCATACAGTGTACAAAAACTACTTTTACTGTCAAAAGATGATGACGAATAAAATTGTAAGGTATAATCTCATGGAATCTCGTTGGTTGGGAGAATTGGAACTTCCGGGTGCAGGTGCGCATAACGCTTATCCATACCAGTCGGATCGGTTTAGTGATATCGACTTTGCAACTGATGAATACGGATTATGGGTAATTTATGCGTCCTCGGCATCCAGCGGAAATGTTGTTATCAGCAAGATTAACGAGGACAATTTTACGATTTCAGAAACATGGACGACATTAATCCCCAAACGCACTGTTGGAAATACGTTTATGATCTGTGGAATATTATACGCAACGGATTCTTACACTAATTCGCCAACGTACATTAAATACATTTATAATACCCAAAACGGGGGTAATAAAGAACTAAAAAGCACGGAAATAACGTTTACAAACACTATAAGGAATGAATTTGTTTCAAACTATATGCTTGACTATAACCCATTGGACCGGAAGTTATACACGTGGAATCATGGGAGAATTGAAATATATTCAACGATGTCCTCAACAATCGATAAATAACGAGAAATAGTGGAGTGCAGTAACTTTTCAGGATAAAAAAAGGAGATTCATGCATTCGATTATTCCGGAGAGTGTATTGTTATAATTACTGAAAGTAACAAAATAACACAACCGTGAACCAAAAAAATATTATTGATTAGTACTTTGTTAATAATTTATTGCCCCACCAGTGTCTATTATAAATAGTATGTATCTCTCTTCAGTATCTATATGGACGTGTTACAAGTGGTGATTAATGTTGCTAGTGGCGGCTAGTGCACGAGCGAAAATTAATTACAGATGCTTGAATAAAATGGTCCTCATTTAATTGTAAAATTCATGTTAGTCAGGACTTGTAAACGATTTCACCTTTTAGTTCACTATATGTGTACTTTTTAAGAATTTTTTTTAGTTCAATTGTTGAATTTCAATTTAAATTATCTTTGTATTTCAATAACAATTTCTTTTTATAAGTAGATTTTTCGTTGCCGCAATTGTTTTTGAATCGCAATATCTCATTTTGATAAATTGCTGGATTTTATATGTAATTGTATTTTTGTACATTTTTGACACAAAATCGATAGAACTGCAACAGCTTTTTTGAAGCAAGGACATCCAGTTGCATTGTATTGATATACTGTGCATAGAAATATTGTAAATAGTCGAGACGATAATCTGGGACAGTTCTGATCCTAGTCACAAGCCTGTTTAATTAAAACAATTATGAAAATTCGCTTCACTTATAATCTTCCTGAATATGAATCTTATGAAAAAGCTTGTTTTTATCTACTGACGTAAATACATGCTTAAAGTCACAAATAATTTAATACATCCTGGGGCCATAATAAAATTATTGTTTGTTTGGAATTGCCTCCCGCCTCATTGAAATGCCTCCTCCTGAAAAAAATTTATTGACCAAAAGTAGGAAAATTTTCTTTTGCCTGTTATCACATGCGCCATACAAAACACTGAAATGTAGTGTCAGATCTATGCAAAATTAGCATTCTTTGTTGATGTTAGATACTTTATTTAAAGTCAGAAAATGTATTTACTGTTTACTGAGATTTTAATCAAAAAATTAAAAATTTATCTTCAATTTTGAAAAAAAAAAAATTCTCTCCCTCCCTCCTGTGTCTGAAACCCCTTCAGGCGGCAATTCCAAACAAACAACTTTTTAAGGATGGCCCGAAATATGCCCAACAAATTGGACAAACGGATCATATTTTCCATGTACATGTGTGATCTACATAAAACATGAAATACGGAGAACATAACGAATATAGTGTTAAAAGTTCTAAAATCCATTGAAACAATAGAGATCGGATTAAGAGCAAACAAGGACCTCTAAATCTTAATAGGATCAGGTGCCATAGAGGAGTAAGACATCCCATGTCTCACATGTACTGTGTTATTTGTAGTGATTGGGCAAATGGAAAATCCTACGACAATGCAGTGTTTAAATGAATGATTAGAAACAATTGTATTAAGGTAAGAGAGACGGAGGATCGCCTCGTTATTTAGATCATCGATCTTGATAAAGTTATGTGAACTTCGTTACGAGGGGGAAATAAATTTCTTTCTTATTTTTTGTTTCGAACAGATCAATTTTGAAGGTTTCTATAATAATGTTAAAAGCTCTGTATTTCTCTTTGATTTTGTTTTGTTAGTTGTGGGATTTAAATTATTTATCAAGTTCTATCTGAACATTATTTTTTTTCTATCAAATATCCTTAGCGACATAACCCTCACATCAAATTAGTCCCATAGCGAGTAAATTTATTATGTTCCCCAAACGAAGTTGGGGAACATATTGTTTTTACTCTGTTTCTTATTATTATTAAGGTCTTCCGTCTTCACGGAAGACCTTATAGTGATTCTACTGTTTCTTATTAAGGTCTTCCGACTTCCTTCGGAAGACCTTATTGTTTTCCGTCGGTTTCCTATTATTATTATTATTATTATTATTATTCTTTTTTCATAGTTATGGCGATATCTCAGCTGTGACTGTACGGATTTCAAAGATTTTTACAGGAAAGATGCATCACATTAATATCTCCAGACGTGTTTTTCATTTTTTCAAAATTTAATTCCATTCGCGATTTTTGGGGAAATTTGTATTTTTAAAATGGATTTTTGTACCCCAGTTTTCTCGAAAACGGCTAAAGATATGACATTGAAACTCATGGACATTAAAGAGCATCACATGTAGATGTGCCGAACGTCCTTCATTTTTTGTCGTTCCTACTTCCGGTCGCAAACGGAAATGAATTTAAAAAGTCTAATTTTTCAACTTTTTTGTTTTTCAATATTTTTCTTTCAGATTTACAGGGTTTATAGAGCGTCTTCAACGATATCTATATATGTTTTCATTTTTTTCATGCGTGCGTTTATTGCAAAGATATGACCAAACCAAACTTTGTCTTACTGTCGCGGGTTCGAATCCCGCTCGGGGCGTTCCCCAAATTTTTTCTTTGTTTTTGTCTTTTTTCAGTTGCAAATTACTTTTCACTCTTTTATAACATGTGTGGAAAATTTTGCCGATTTTTAAAAGCTATATTTGGAGATATTTCGTGAAATACCTGGAACAATCACGATCTGTGTTGATAAACTACTGTAAATGAACGTAAACGAAAAAAATACATTATGGAATCTATTTCATAGGATGACGCAGACTAGATTGCAAAAGAGAAGTCGGTCGGAAGACCTGCTTGTTGCACCAGCAACAAGAACGCATCTAGTTATTCTTATTATTATTCTTTTTTTTGACAAAATTTTGTACAGGCGATTTCTCGAAAACTATTCAGCGATTTTTCATGAAACTTTCACAAAATATGTGTCATTATATGAAGTTGTTACATCCGAAGAGAAATTTGAAAAATTCGCTACTGGTGCCAAGTTATGGACAATTTCCTGATTTTAAAATGCAATTTTGTCGCCCCTTTTTGTCGAAAATGGCTTAAGATATGACCTGGAGACTTATTGGAGACGATAGTTTGTCACTTTGTGTTTTGCGGAATCACCTTCTCGTGCGTCGTCAGTACTTCCGGTTGTTACGAAATGCAAATTTAAAAAAATCGTATTTTCTAACTTTTTTGTTTTTCAGTATTTTTCATTTATTTTTGGTATGTTAATAGAAGTCCTACTTAAAATGCTTACTATATAATTTGTTTGAATGTTGATAAATCTAAACTCTAGATATTAGCATTCAAAAATCTGAAGCGGGTCCAAAATGGCGGCTGTCTCTGTCAACGCCGACATTTCGCAATAGGGGTTTACGGGGGCAGCCGAACGTTTGCTTGAACGAAAGTAACATAAGGATAAATGAAATGTAAAGGAATACTTGGATTGTCACATCGTAGTTTCGTTGCAGTTCTGTGTCAAACTAACGTCTTCTATTATTGTTTTTGGCTGCTTTTCAAAGTAGAAAAAGAGAAGACTGTGCAAATGAAATTCGATACCTAATATCTTTTGTGCATCACAGAAAAACAGATCTTAAATCATACTTATAAGTAATACTTTCTGAAAAAAGAATATCAATTAATATTGTAACTTTAAATCTTAGCCACTGTTTTACCTATGCACACCTGTGTCATATTAAACTAATAAATAAGACAAATATAAGAAAACGATTTTTTTTAAAGATTGCTTCACGGAGTTTATTTTAGCATTCTCGTCTCAAAGACCTGATTCAAGTTATTGAGCACAAATGATATCTGATTCGTTGACCGTCGTAGGGTGAGCCCTTTTTTTCGGCGAAACGTATCAACCTTTTTCGATTAACTAATCGGGATAATTCACTTTGGGGATTAACAGGAAATTGAAAAAAAGTTAAAAATTCATAACCGTTTCACCGCTTTAGTGTTACGTGCATATATACAATATGGAATTTGTAAAATGTGTTAAATATACTTCCTAAACCTAGAATCTAAGGATATGAGAACGGTTTTTTTTAAATTTCATTGAAGCTATCACACCTATCTAATAAAACATTACAGAGAAAAGGCGCAAAGATTAACTCCTGGAGTTTGACGCTAAATTTTGAATAGTGACCCACCTTTCATACTTTTAAGAGAGAGGCACTGCTTCGTAGAGTAAAAGTCCCGATAATGTAATATTTAGTACATTGAAATTTTATGCTGGCGACTTGGGTTGAATCCCCTTGTGTGCAAATCTTTTTTTACATTTTCAGCTCGATTCTACGTTTTCTTTCCGGAATCGGACGGAAGACCTCTCGTTGCTTGCAACGAGTTTCATCTAGTTATTAAGGTCTTCCGTCTCCAACGGAAGACCTTATTGTTTTCGTTCGGTTTCTTTTTCCCTATTATTAAGGTCTTCCGTTTCCAACGGAAGACCTTATTGTTTTCGTTCGGTTTCTTTTTCCCTCTTCTTATTATTATTTTTCTATATTCTTACCGATTTTGTGCACGCGAGTTCTCGGAAACGGCTCGATGGATTTTCATGAAACTTTCAGATCTAATAGATATTGTTCTGAACCTTATTGGAAATTTTTTGTATTGAGATTGTATCTTCCGGTCTTGAGATATGGACGATTTTCTGATTTTCAGAGGGTCTGCTTGTCCGGGTAACTCCACGTAAACGACTGAAGATATGGAGTTGAGATTTTCAGTGTAGATAGAGGACGGATTGTAGAAGTGCCATTTTGAGCCTATATCTTTTCAGCCCAAAAGGCACCGAAGCTAGCCTGGGTTTAAAAAACGACTCAAAAATATCTCACAAAATTTAACAACTTTTCTATTATATCTGCTTATCTGTTAACATTTTGTTAAGACATACAGAAGAAAAGTGATTCAAAGATGCAAGATCTCTCATTTGATATGGCAAAAAAGGGGCTGCCTTCTCAAATTAGGGGCCTAGAGGGGCCAGTAGACTTTGATCTATAACTCGTTCACTATAAATGTTTTGTTATAAATTACAGAAGCAAAAATGTTTATCTTAACAATTTTCAACAATATATTATAAAATTTTAATCATATGTTACGTAATAAGGGGTCACAAGGGGCCAGAATGCTAAATCTTTGAGGTTTTATATCTCGAAAAGGGCGAATATTTTGATACGCAATATTGATCAAAAGATGGTCATAATAATGCTTTAAACAATATGCATGCTTCAAATTTTTGTTAAACGGCCCCATTAAGGACTTGGAGGGGTAGCCCCTAAATATTTCCATTCAGAATATCTCCACAAAGTAAAGAAATCTGAATAAGTGTTGAACAAAAAGTCTTTGAACTCACAAGACCTTTCATTTGAAATCAAGAAAAAGGGGTGACTCCTAAATTTAAGGGCCAAGATGGGCCAAAAGTCTTTTATCTTTAGCGTCTTAATGATATATATTTTGTAATACATTACTGAAGAAAAAATGTTTATCTTGACGACTGGCAACTATATCTTATAAAATTTTGATCACATGTTACGTAATTAGGGGTCACAAGGGGCCAGAATGCTAAATCTTTGAGGTTTTATATCTCGAAAAGGGCGAATATTTTGATAAGCAATATTAAACAAAAGATGGTCAGAATAATGTTTTAAACAATATGCATACTTCAAATTTTTGTTAAACGGCCCCATTAAGGACTTGGAGGGGTAGCCCCTAAATATTTCCATTCAGAATATCTCCAAAACGAAAAGAAATCTCTGAATAAGTGTTGAACAAAAAGTCTTTGAATTCACAAGACCTTTCATTTGAAATCAAGAAAAAGGGGCTGACTCCT